ATCAAGCAAGTCATTTTTGGATCGAGTTAGGTCAGTTCAATCGCATGATGAATGGGTTAGTTTTTGGCACCTCTCGATATTTAAATCATTTTAGGACATTAGATCTTGTCAACCATATCAACAACTTATCAAATACATTCCATAGAGTTCCTAAGCTGGCTTACATTATTGCATTGTTGTAGTTTAATCCACCTAAAATTTGTGCATGTGTCTTATTTTCCGCTCAATTTTGTTTATTTGTTGTTTGTGTGATTAATTACGATTTCTCTTTAACACCGTAAACTTTACATGTGTAAGTTTGTTTTTAAATCTAGCTTCATTTAGCTAATACACAATACTATATATAAATTCCATTGTTATAATATATCTTGATCAGATTTACTCAATTGTAGTTTGATCTCTAAGTCATATAGGACAAATTCAGAGATTGGTTAAAAGATTATGTAACCTTCCTTCTTTTTATCTATCTTTTTATTTTTATTAATTTTTTTTTTTTTTTTGAGAGAAAAACTTATAAAAAAAATTTGTGTAGCAAAAATTGTCACTTTTCAAAAGAAAAAACTAGGACCGCCTAACATAAAAAGTACTTATGATTGTTATGGATATGCAGGGGGAAGGCTAAGGGGGAGCAAAATGTTAGGAATTTTGAGAAATTGGCCAATGGGATATACGTACAGCTCAATTAGGTAAAAAGGATTCGTTCGAAGTATAATTTAATTACAAAAATCACAGTCAAATTTGTAGACCTTAATTATTTTAGTAACTGATTTTAGTAATATTTAGGTCACCAAGTTGAATGATTGATTCCTTAAAAATAAAATAAAAATGGAAAGATTGACAGTTACTGATTTATCAACTTTCATCTTACTGGCTAGGACTAGGAGTATATATTTTTCATCAACTTCATCTGATCTTAATCTATTCACCTTATTTTCATTTATTTCATGAAAAATAAGTTATGATGAGAGTTGATAAATTATTCTACTTTAAATTACAACTATAATAAATTTTATGTTGTACTAAGTTCAAGTAACTTCTGATAAGATTACTTGTAATATAAGTGAAAAGGTGAATAATATACATTGTAAGTGGTGAAATATTTGGAAATATAAACATAATAATAATAATAATAATAATAATAATAATAATAATAATAATAATAATAATAAGATAATATGGATTGGTTTTTTTTTTTTTTTTTTTTTTTAAACATTCCAATATAATACTCCTTTCGTGTTTAAATAAATAACGAAGCATTTTGACTTTTTGCACTATTCATCTAATTTACTTTGACTAATGTTTGTGATTAATTTATATATAAGAATAAATATTGTCTTGCGGGTACTTGTTGAAATCGTCCCAATAAACAGTTTAGTATTATATATACAATTATTATAATTTTTATTTATTGATATTTAAATATATTATCAGTTAAATATTATATTGGCACAAAAAATGTTTTATTTATTTAAACACGTAGGGAGTACAAAATACGAATTACATTTTGTGTGACTAGCTAACTACCAAAATGTTTATAAATCAATGTTTATAAAATACGTTATAGAAATTAAAACTTACTACTTAGCTAGAGTCCTAGACTTTAATGCCACAAAACCATACACTATATAAGAGTTAATTAGGATTTTAACATGCAAGCCTTTACAACACTTGACAAGGTATGACAAACTACTAAACAACTTGAATTGACGAGAAAGCATGCTAGACAAATTATATTGTGGATTAAAATTTTCTTATCTACAAAACATTTTTAAGTTCCTTTGTTTGCTCTTATCCAATACAATAGCAAAACGTGAGAAAATAATCAATGATTGTTAGTTCTCTTCACCTTTCTGATTTTTCTTATCTAGAATAATAAATAGTACCAAAAGTAACATTCATATCTTTAATTGGGTCCTTAACATCTATTTTACAAACAAATTCTTGAAAACTTTGTTGTTCATCTTAGAACCTAAAATACCATTAGTTTTGATATTTTTGATAAAAGTAATTATCATACATTTTCTTGTACTTCAAATCATCTAATAATAAACATCTAATCAGATCAGACATCAATGTTCATAATTTTGTTAATCAATTTAAAAGTAGAAGAGAAATGTAAAGAGATCGATCTCCACCCCCAAGCACCCTACTTAAAGATATTTAAACACAAACCTTTAGAATCTAAAATAACAAGTCTTACTAAGCAAGTCAAACCTCGCCGGACAATATAACTTCTACAAGTACTTCTTAAATAAGTATAAATGTATAATGGTTGCTTTCCATATTCATCTCTGCAAAAACATGTTGGCCCAACTAACTGACTTAGCCTAATGTATAATGAAATTTGAATGGTTGGCTGAGGTAGGCCTTGATAATTTGCTAAAGATTGCACTAAAATAATCAAGTACTTCCTTTTGGGAAAAATAAAAACTTCCTCCCTTTTGTAATAAAAATACGTATAAAATGACCTCACTTTAATCTTTTATCAAGCAGGTAGAATTGACTAATCTGATCTAATAATGCAAATTATAGTTTAGATATTATATGCCCTTTCTGTTAACATAACATACGTGTATTATTTATAATAAAGGGGAAGCAAAATATAAATGTAGGTACACCTACAAAAATACAAAGTAGTATTGAATTGTATAAGATTTTAAGTATAATTTTTGTAAATTAAAATAAATATATCCCGATAAGTTCACGAAAATTAAGTTTAGAAAAGGGTGAATGAGAGCTGCCTAACTCACTACAATTTACAATTACCGATCATAATAATTTACATCCGATCCACTTACTTTAATTTTATGCATTAAGATAAGATAAATTTTGAAACTATAAGTTCAAATAATAAGTTTTTATAGGGTTATCAAAGTTCAATTTACAACCGTGCTTAAAAACTCTAAACCAAATGTGCTCTTAATTTTGAAATAATTAGTGGTGTGAAACAACTAATCGAAATATATTCAACAATTTGTTGTACATATATTATTGAACATTAGATTGCCCTAATTGCACCTGTGTTTTTACATACGTATTAATCAAATGCCTTCCTTATATTACAAATCTTTATGTATCATATATATGTGCTTTTGTATAATGCTTAGGAATGTTAGGATATTTCCTATATAGAATAATATTATCATTTTTCGAACTCTTAAATTAATTAGGTTAACTTCATTATACTTAGCTTTATGAATTATACCGGTACACTTGTTATTATCATAGTGAACAAATTACGTACATATCATGCACACTCTTATATCATACATCATATAAAAATTCAACCCAAACCTTTTGCAATAATACAAAAAACAAAAGTAACTTTACCATATGTTTGGTTTCTAGAGAAAAATATCTCCCCTTCTGAAATCTTTCATAATTTTTTATTTTTTTTATATAAAACATTCAAACATATTTGGCATGCATATATATATATGAATGGAATTAATTATTAGTAAGAGAATCATAACCGAAAGTAAATTAAACAAAAGCCAAGCTCACAATTTTGGAAATTCAAAGAATCTCTTGTTTCAAAAAAGGGATGTAAAATTGTTGTTAAACATTAAAAAAAATTAAGAAAAAAGAGAAACAAAATTTTATTATAAAAAGAAAAAGAGTTAGGACTATTGAAGGATTAAACTATTAGAGTGTTTGCAAAAGAAGAAAGAGTAAACGTGAAGTGTGAAAAGTCATTGATAATTTCGTTCTTTTGGAAAGTCAGAATCTTATGCACTCACATTTTTAAGCTGGTTAAAAGTGATCAACATGTATTGGATTCTTAATTTTGATGGGTTAGATTCTTATTTCCCGGTGTAAGTTGGAGGAAAACAATTAAGTTTTATACGTAAACACGAAGCAAGTTTATTTCAACTTATATTATCTAATACAAATGATAATTATTCTTTATTCCTCATCAGTGTAAGAGGAAATAAAGTTTAGCTTGTTTTGTGTGCGGCTGCTACACCTTGTGACCGGTTGTAAAAGAACAAAATAATTCCATACAGCACTGATTGAGTAACTCCTGTAACATTGACCCAGTAATATAACTCTATAATACTAACGAAGTAACTCATAATATGACTGACCACACAGTATATATAAAAGTTGGTGAATAACGTTATCATAATATTGTCTCAATATTTTATAACATAATAAGGAAATCAATTAAAACAGTAACATGGAGGTCGACATATAAATATATTATTGTCTCGGGGGGTTTGGGGGTTGAGGATTAGCGCTCATTCTAGAGCGAGAACAGAGAAAAAAAAATTATCCTGAAGAATGTAAGCACGTACTAATTAGTGCATTGATTAGTTGGTACTTTATACATAAATGATGCATATAAGTATTCCATCAATTGAACTTAGTCATATATCAATATATGTATTCCATCAATGGAACTTAGTCTAGTTGTAAAAGCTTATATATAAGTCAACATATAATTAAATTGTGTCCAATTAACCCGTAAGCAAATTCAATCGATCCAATAAGACACATCTATACTAACATAGTAACATGCCTATCTCATACTTTCAACTAAGATTTACATACATACAAGGTATTTTTTTGGTACATTCCGTAGATTCCAAACCATTGTTTGGTGTTTATACACAAGGGAGCGTGCAAATGATCAGAAAAAAACCGTTGTGTTACAAGCTCCATGAGCACAACACACGCACATATATCCAAATTGAAACATAAATGACTCACACTCTTCTAGTCAAATGGCTCAAACCCTTGTAAAATTCATGTACATCTTATTGGTCCACTAACTACATCCTCTTGTTTTTTGAAAGAAACACTAACTACGTCCTATTTTTATCGAAAGAAACCCTAACTACATCCTATTATCCCTTTATTATTTATTAATTTTTTCCCCAAAAAGAAAAAGAAATGAAAAAAGTAAAACCCCAAAATTACGAAAATACCCTTTACAACCCTTACACCAATTCTCCTCATAACACCCACCCCTATAAATTCCAATTCCCATCACCCCTCATTCCTACAACTCTAGCTCAAACACACACTCTCCAAACAATTCCTTATAATTATTTTATAATATAAAAAATATTTAAAACTTTTAAATTACCAAAATACCCTTCACACCACCTGTAACACCCACCCCTATAAATTCCAATTCCAATCCCCCTCTCATTTCCCTCAACCCAAAACACACTCACTCTCTCCTAATTATCCTTTAACCAAAACCTCATAATTTTCCCAATTTCCTTGAAAAAAAAAATGGGAGTAAACTCAAATAGAGTAGAAGATGAGAATCACGCATGTTTTGAAACCACTCTCAATATCATCCCAAATCATAACAACAACAATAATAATACAACAGCACAAACAATGGTGGTGCAATTACCAAATAACCCTTCTTCTCCAACAGAATTACACCGTGTTTGTTTGCCACCAAAAAGAAGTACTCTCCAAAAACTAAAACACAGAGTTGCTGATATATTCTTCCCTGATAATCCATTCCATAAATTCAACAACCAAACATGGCTTAAGAAATTAATTCTTACTCTTGAGTTTTTATTCCCTGTTTTTCAATGGGGCCCCACTTATAGTCTTAAGCTTTTTAGGGCTGATCTTATTTCTGGCCTCACCATTGCTAGCCTTGCCATCCCTCAGGTATGTTTTTTTTTGTTTGGTTCGTGCGTAACACACGTCAGTTGGGTGAAATATAATACGTCTTCTCTTGAGAGCACAAAGAATTACAGGATAATTATCTTATGATAAAATGGGTTGCTACTGTATTGTTTTGTTATAAAAGTGCACAAAATTCTGGGTTTTTTTTTCATAATTTTTGCTGGTTTTATGACTTATGATTGAGTAGAGTATGAAAATTAAGTAGAAATAGTAAATATCTAAATTCATGGGACGATCCATGATTTTCGTAGCTGCCCAACTTTATGCGTAATACAACAATACAGTGGTCGATAACATATTTAATGTTTATATGTAAACCGGACTTTTTTTTAAAAAAATAAATAAATAAATTAGGATAATAGAATTAAATGAGAAGTCTTAGTCAAAGAATTTAATTAACAAAATCTTACATTACTTCATTACTTGGATTGCAGGGAATCAGCTATGCAAAGCTAGCCAACCTACCACCAATCATTGGCCTATGTAAGCTACTCAATTTTTTTTTTTTTTTTTTTTTACTTCATCCGTTTTTAAAAGTACTCCTGTTTATACATACGTCGATTGTACTGGAATTTTGACAAAAAAAAAATTGGGAAAAAATGCAGATTCAAGCTTTGTGCCACCATTGATATACTCAATACTTGGGAGTTCTAAGCATTTAGCAGTGGGCCCAGTTTCAATAGCTTCATTAGTAATGGGGACAATGCTAAGTGAAGTTATTTCTCCAACTGAAGAACCAATTCTTTATCTTAAGCTTGCTTTTACTTCTACCTTTTTTTCTGGTGTTTTTCAAGCTGCTCTTGGTTTTCTCAGGTTTGTTAATTTTTTTCTATGTTTTCCCCTTTTTTTTGGGTTTCAACAGTTTTTTGTGAAGAATATTCTAGGAATATTCTTTTTTGTTTTGGGTGGGGTTGGAAAAAATGGTTGAAACACATTTAAAGGGGAAAAAAATCATCATTATGTATCATGTATGTGATCTTACATGTGAATTGTTTTAGGCATAATATGTATGAATGTATCATATTAATGACGTATTGGTACATAATTGTTACGCCTTTATCTCATATCACTTTGACCATTGGTATGTTTATAATCTATTTGTAAAAATTGTAAAATGTAAATATTTTTAGAAAACACATTATGATAAACACAAAAATAACTTACAATCTAACATTTGAATGTGATGTTATGTAAGAAAATTCAAGTGATTTTTTCGTATGTATGTGATGGTATGTAAGCGGTTTTAAAATATCACTATAATAGTTTTATACCGTGAAAGGTAGCTCCTAAGTTAAGGGGGGTCGTCATTTAGTTAGACAACACAAATCATATTACAATAAATAAAAATAATATGGAGTATAAGTTTTTCATAGAGTTACGAGCTAAACTAGTTGACAATCAACACCACCCGGGGTACTTCATATTTAAGACACTCTTCCACACTAAGTTATGATAGTGCAATGAATTACTCCATTTTTCCAAAATAAAGAATTTCGTAGCGGTGGGATGATTAATAGAAAGAGCCAAAGGAATTTGGACTATTACAGAAAGAGATATACCGAAAATTGAAATAAATAAATAAATAAATTCAAAGTAGCAATTTGTAATTTTGTAGTTGAAAGAAATAAATTCAAAAATGTGTGGGTTTAATTGCAGGTTGGGATTTGTGATAGATTTTCTGTCAAAAGCAACCCTAATAGGATTTATGGCTGGGGCAGCAGTCATAGTGTCATTGCAACAGCTCAAGGGTTTACTTGGGATGGTCCACTTTACTAACCAAATGCAGATCATTCCTGTTTTGTCCTCTGTTTTGAAGTACAAAAATGAGGTATTCTAAGTGATTATATTTTTCCGTATATATTCCTTCTTATTTTCATCGGTGTACACTTGTACTTGTACTCGTAGGTCTTGTACGGAGTATAACCTACGAGTACAAGTATTTTTATAAATATGTCCTTTGTCTAGAACTGTAATTCTATCGGTAATTTTATAATTAATGAGTTATTTTTCTCGGTTTGTAATTTCAAATAAAATATTTTGCATTAATGAACAAGGTTGATATTGATAATATTTTTTTTTTTGGGGATGACAGTGGGCTTGGCCAACAATTTTAATGGGCTTATGCTTCCTTTTCTTTCTTCTTTCAGCAAGACATATTGTAAGTAGCACTTTTGCTATTGCTTTTCTTCTTTTGTTGTCGATTTACAATTTTATTTGATTTATTTATTTATATTATGTATTGACACATTTTTTGTCTTTCTAATTTTTTACCCAGAGTGCCAAAAGGCCTAAGTTGTTCTGGTTATCAGCAGCAGCACCATTAACATCAGTTATCCTCTCTACAATCATAGTTTTCGCCATCAAGCCAAAGCCTCAACGTATCCCAATTGTAAGAAAATTATATAAATACTTGGATTTTACACATAAATTACATCGTAGTATAAATAAAATGGTACATTAGAAGAATTCATGGCATTGTTTAGATATAAATCACGCTGTTCTTTTGTAATGTACTAGATTGGTTACTTGCCTAAGGGCCTCAACCCACCTTCAGCAAACATGCTCTATTTCAGTGGCGCTTATCTCGGGCTTGCCATCAAAACTGGCATTGTTAGCGGCATTCTTGCTCTCACTGTAAGCATTCTGCATACTAATATATCTAATTTACAATCATGAACTATATATCCAACAATATACGAAGTATTTTTCTTGCAAAAGATCGAAACTTACATGTATATCTTTCGTCCCCTTTCTTATTTGTAGGAAGGAATTGCTGTTGGAAGAACATTTGCAACCCTTAACAACTACCAAGTTGATGGTAACAAAGAAATGATGGCTATTGGTCTCATGAATATGGCGGGTTCTTGCTCTTCTTGCTATGTCACAACAGGTAATAATTTCATATTCTATAATCTATACTTGAGGAACACATTTTATGATTTTTTATCCCCCGATTTTTAGCTAATTATTTCTTCAAATCATAATTTTGCAGGGTCATTTTCAAGGTCTGCAGTAAACTATAATGCAGGAGCAAAAACCGCAATCTCAAACGTAGTCATGGCATCAGCAGTCCTCATTACTCTTTTGTTCCTCATGCCTCTGTTCCATTACACACCGACTGTTATCTTAGCTGCTATCATCATCACAGCAGTCATTGGTTTAATCGATTACCAAGCAGCTATTCATTTGTGGAAGGTTGATAAACTTGATTTCTTGGCTTGTGTTTGCTCCTTCTTCGGCGTCCTCTTTGTTTCAGTTCCTCTGGGACTTGCTATTGCTGTAAGTCAATCTGTTTTATACTCTTTTAAGTAAAAGATCATATAAAGTCCTGGGAATGACAGCCTCATGATATAATGAAATAATCATTTTACAGGTTGGAATTTCGGTGTTCAAAATTTTGCTTCATGTCACAAGGCCAAACACAAATGTTCTAGGAAACATTCCCGGAACTCAAACTTACCAAAGCCTTGGTAGATATAGAGAAGCAATGAGGATCCCTTCGTTCCTCATCCTCGCTATTGAGTCTCCTATCTACTTTGCAAACTCAACATATCTTCAGGAGAGGTTCGACTACTATCCTATTCTCATGGCATTCAGAAATAGATATTAATTATTTTCAATTAACCTAACACAACTCGTGATACAGAATACTAAGATGGGTTCGAGAGGAGGAAGAGCGACTCAAAGCTAACAACGACAGTATTATGAAATGCGTAATCTTAGACATGAGTGGTAAGTTAGAATCTAGCATCCCCTGTTTTCTTTAGCTCAAGCAGCTACTTTCAAGTCATACATATATTCTTTCAAGGTTCGGACTACATAATGTGCCTCTATTTTGAACTATGCACATCTCACAAATTTGTTTCACTTTCTTGTTATATACGTTGTCGAGTTTGTCTAAACCAACCCTTACCCGACTACCCACCCTACCTTGAATGATACGCGTAAGCACACCACCTGATTCACCCATTTGCAATTTCTTTTATGCAGCCGTGACAGCTATAGATACAAGTGGGATCGAACTGCTTGGCGAGCTCAGGAAGATGCTTGAAAGAATGTCGCTGCAGCTAGTACTAGCAAATCCAGCAGGAAATGTGATGGAAAAACTGCACCTTTCAAAAGTGATAGAATCCTTTGGCTCACAAGGGCTTTACTTGACAGTAGGAGAAGCAATAGCTGATATTTCCTCATCATGGAAAGCTCAACCTTAACCAACTTCCAAGAGGCAATTCAAGTAGACATAAAATATAATTGGAATCATTTTAGGTTAGAATTAGTCGAGCCGAGTTGTAGCAGTACTATGTATATGTAACTAATGTGAACCGTCAAGTTCGAGCTCTTTCAAGGAGGAGATTTTGAGGCCTTTTTTTTTTTTTTTTTTTTTTTTTTTAAGTAGGTCTTTGTCCTTTCGGAAAAAAATAATGGAAGATAAGTTGCGCGAAATAGCCAAAATACCCTGTGACGGTAGGCAAATACCGTTATTTTTATGTTCTTTCTCCTTCCTTTTTGTCGTTGTCGCTTTCATTTTATAAAACCTTATCAAGAGAATAATTAATCTGTTGATTAGAAAGAAAAGCTTCAAAATTATTAAATGAAAGGTTGGAGAAAAGGGAAGAAAAGTGTATATAATTTTGGCTGATTAGTACAGATTTTTGACACAAAATGGGATACCCCATTAACAAGATTCTGAAAAATAATATTAGAAGAAACAACAGTACTAACCATTAAGCCAATTTATGAATGTTGATAAGCATATTGTAGACTAGGTAACCCTACCACATTTCTACTTTTTTCAAAACAGAATCAATTTTTTTCTTTTTTTTTTTGATAAATAGAAGCCATTAAAACTGCCTTCTCATCTTAAAGATAAGTCAATCTTTATCAATCACCCAAAAAAAAAAAAAAAAAAAAAAAAGCACTATTATTTTTGATATGATATAGAAGTCTTTGTTTGTAATATACTTTTGGTAAAATGCAATATTTGTGATGGGGCTCAACTTCCAACTTGATGAGTTGACCCTCAACCACTGATGGTAGGATGTAGAAGTAATTACTCGAAAATTGATCCATCTCCTTGTCAGTTGTCACTCGAAAACTTTGCTTTGGGTGTACCGTCTTTATGTCCTATCAATGTATTACAGACTTGTGTAAAAGGAGATGGAAAAACAAATGGATATGGCTAAGAGGGCAGCAACAATTACTGAGACAATTGGCTACTTTTTACTTGCTTCTAAATTTTACCTATGATTGTCTCCACCCACAAAGAACAATGAAATGAACATAGCATTTCAATAATTGTTATCTATACAAAATGGATAATTAGGATGTCAATTCTATCTTCTTTTGTGGCTCCACTTCGATTATTTACATAGATAATTCTGTAGATTTGATACAGTAATTGTCAGAATATAGAGTTATTCCTTGGTCTCAAAATAATATCCCCTCTTTCGCAAGGAGATACACTGAATTGAAAGCCGAATTAGCTTCTTTCAATGAGGCGTACATACGAACGAGCAAACTAGAGCATGCAAATGTGATTCTAGTTGCATAAAGGTAAATGCAAGCAAGTGTGCAGAGACAAATGAGGCGGACATACGAAAAACCAAACTAGAGCATGCAAATGTGATTCAAGTTGCATAAAGGATAAATGCAAGCAAGTGTGCAGAGACGAATGCATGCACAAAAAACAGAGACAAACAAAGAAAGCCAAAAGTTGTACAGGAGTTCATGCCAGCAATACCAAAGATTTTCTATTGTCAAGAAAAAATAACGGCCCAAAACAATGCACAACCAATGAACCAATGTAGCCATTTGAGATTTGATTTGATGAAATCTGAACAATTAATTGATCCTCTTGAGAAGATGCCTAGATATTTTACAAGTTCTTGGAAAGCTATGCGACCTAGTAACAGCAAAAGATCTATGTTTCCAAATACCTCTTTAACTCTTGCTGAGTGCTGCCCCCATGTGGAATCAACTAAAACAATAAGAGCTCCATGTAAAGCGCTCCAGTCAATCCATCCTCATGAAATATAACTTGATAATCTATATATACTTAAGTTTCCTCCACAAGCGCCTCAGAGAGCAAAGCCACCAATTCCAAGTTAAGAATAACAATTTCTCTCACAGATAGGTTTTTTCCGGTCAATCATACATCTGTACAAGCGAAGTGTCAATCAACACACAGTTTATGGAAATTATTCATTTTGGATATTCAGACAGTAATACCACATTATAGCAGATAGAACAAGCAAACAAACAAACCAAAACAATTGCACAAGAATTAGATGCCCTCAATTTTGAATTTTACTTATATGCATTTCAACCATGACCAGTGCAACAAACTGATGAAACTACTTGCATTCACCCCCCCCCCCACACCCCCCGAAAAAAAAAAAAAAAAAAAAAGGAAAAGAGAGAACCAAATTCATGCTAACATACTGCAACTGAACTCTGAACTCTTAACTCTACATAGATCACCACCACTTGGCCCATAGAAGCAGACATTGGGCGTAGCAGGTAAAACCCATAGTTGAGATGCATACAATACCAAGTGACTAGTGATGTTCACATGAGGCAATGCTCACATACTAAGATTAATTTGAACCAAGTCAAACCCAATCATTAATTCGCTATCTGATGATTTACCATGGGCGACAAAAGATGAAAAAAATTGAAAGACAAAACATTTATTTCCGGTTTTCTCCTAGCTTGAAATAAAGTGAAGTCATAGGCTCAAAGAATTGGACTACTTGTATTTATAATAATAAAAAAGACAAGCATCTCTTCTGGTTTTCTTCTAGCCTGTATTAAAATGTAGTCATTGGCTCAAAGAATAAAACTACATGTTTTGCAATTGCACCATCTCTTTCTTCTACGCATCGACATCTCTAACATTTCCATTCCCAAAATCCCAATACACTTTTGATGATCAGCAAGGTTCCTTTTCCCTTTCAGATTTGGGGTATCTTCAACAGGATGTGACACAGACACGACCAGCCGTTGGTTTTACAGTTGTGTTCATGATTGTCACCTACTTATTCAGTAATAGGTGTCCCAAACTGGCTTTAATATTTTTTTGAACATTTCATTGTCATAAGCACATGTTGGGGATTTGTCCTCTAGGCAACTTCATGCAGCTCTACTGCAGGTCAAATCATTTTTCTCAATTGCCATCATCAGGAAGTCAATATGTTTTCTCAATTGAGACAGAAATAACTAATAAATTACTTCCACAATTCTGCCAATATATTTATATGCACGATTAATTGAAATTTCAAAAATCAATTTCTTGGTCTGTATCTTCAGTTTTAAGAAACTTAACATTCTTCCGTGAAGACCCGCACAAAGAACCTCCAAGATCTTACATATGTACCTGATAAAAAAAATAGTGATAGTAGACACTCATAGGCTGGCTTCCTGATTGATAACACACTATAATATCTGGCTTTCAAAACCTTACTAGTGAACGCTCATCACTTTTGTCAGTCCCTGGTGGCTATTTATCTCGTCAATACTCAACTGCCACAACTGAGACTGCCATTCTCACAATCCATCAAGACAGCCAAAAGCCATTATATATATGATTTTTACAAGTGAGAAGCAAAGATAATAGTATTCCAGGGGGAGATCACTCAGTAGTAAGAGAAACACTACTTCCCATTCAACTGATCCCATCAGGAAAAGCAATGGGAAGATCGATGCAGCCAAACAACTCCCAAGAGATGAAGAAAAAAGCAATCATCTTCACAGATGTTACCATTTTGCACACTGAAACACCCTAACTACACCTAATACTTTGCATCTACCTAATCTGAATCACCAACTTCATCCTACATGAGATCTAAAACAAGATGTGACGCAGTTTATCATCCAATCTCACTAAACCAGACTATATCACTAAGTAATTCAACATACCATCAAGACTAGAAAAACCATATCCCATGCATATATCACAAGGTAATTCATGATACCATCAAGACCAGAAAATCCCTATCCCATCAAGACCATATCTTGTGATTGACACCTGAAACCCCACAAAGAGTTGAAAAGTGAATCCTACAAATTCCAGGCCGCAGCTGCCACCTCCAGTAGCCACTGCAAAACAATCCTAAGCCAGTGGATCTACAAGTCCAGACACACAACTCCTGATAGACCTTGAAACATTAATGACACTAGGGAGATAAAAGGAACTTGAACAAGCAGATCATTCAGATCTACACTCAGATCTAAGGTCTTTCAAACCCAGACTACTCATGTTACTGATCTAGTGGGGCATGATTTTCCCTAGCCAATACAACAACATTTTGAAGTGCAAAACAAAAGGTTCAAAATACAAGCACATTCTGATCCAGTATATGGGTAATATCATAATATGTATCAGAATAATCACAAAAAAGCTAAGTTTAGGCTTTTTGCTATCAGCTCATTTTGTGCAAGTATATTCTAGCCTTGGAAACAGCATTAAAAATAAATTTATATTGTTTCACTTGTTAGTAAATATGAATTGACAACAACAGCAGTGAGTTGGTATTGTCTTCTCACATGCTCATTATTGGCGTTTGCTAGAATGAAGAATGAAAGAACTAGAAAGTTAAAGATCAAGACATACCTATTGAAGCAGCCATATAACAAGTACTTCCTCTGTTTCTATTTACTTGACACATAGCCTTAGGCACAATATTTAAGGAGAGAAGAGAGAAATTGTAGTTTTGTGGCCTTTGTTGCACATGGCTTACCTTATTACCCCTAAAAGTTGCCCCCATGTGCACTTTATGAGGGTAATTTAAAGAATTTATCTACCAAAAGCTTACCAAATATAGTATGGGTCAAGTAATATGACATTTCCATTTTAGGAATGTTAGTCAAGTAAATAGAAATGGAGGAAGTATATCAATATACACGCAATAAAAAATAAAGCTATGGATTACTAAAAACTAGAGTTTTGAAATAATAATTTAAATGCCAAGGTGTAAATTGATTATCTGCTTACTTGAACGTAAACGAGTAATAGGAATCTCCCGAAGTTCACGTCTTATGCACAAGTATTCACCAAGCAATGCCATAACTGCAAGTCCAGCAATATTAACAATCCACCACGTAAATGACGAAGGCCATCCACCATACACAACACAAATGAAGAGATGGATGATGTAGATAGTTGCGGAAAAATCTAAGCACTTTTTTGCCCTCTCAACCAGATACAGTAGATAGCCAGCTCTGATCATAGATGAAATTACATAAATTAGATTTTTTATGACACCTAAGAAATACGATCAAATCTAAATAAACTGTTTTAGAACTTAGTATGCACTTAAAAAAATAAATAAAATAATAAGACAATCCTGCAAAGAGAACACCAAGATATATCTTATACAAGTCAGAAAAGATTAAGCAATTACGCTAGAACTACAAATCCCTGTAAGAAAAGATAAAATGAAAACCTAGTAAATTTCCATATCCATTAGTGAGCAAAGGCATTAGGTGGTTCGACCATCAGCTGATCATAGTTGATGGTTTAAAGAGGCCCCATCCAACCCCATTGGACTCTGTTCTAGTTCAGAACACTGATTAATGGTACAATCGCATTCTTTACAAATTTGTTGATGTATTACATTCAAGTACCCACAGTCTACTCCATGCAAGAGAAAAAACAAACCAATAGAAAAAAAATTAGTAGACACCAAAGGTATGAAACAACATCCCCCCCCCCTCCCACCTCTACCCCCTAATAATGTTGCTTTAAAACTTCGCAAAACTCACCTTTTCCCAATTCATAGACCAATTTTCAAAAAATTCAGAGAAACTTGCACTAATGTGTTTGCTCCCCCCATAATGCATTAAATTCTAGGCCAATTTGATTGTTAAAATATGTACAGTTTAAGTTTTGAAAAAGGTTCCTCAAACAAATTGCTCAATTGTTGTCGAAGCTGCTAAATACTCTTCACAAGTTGACGATGTTACCAACTTACCACTGTCTGTCTTTCAAAGTCCAGATGAAAGGTGTAAGTCCATTCAGCAGTACTTTTCCTTTCATCTTGGTCAGCGACCCAATCGTTATCAAATTTTCCAACTAGTCTTAAATTGTCTCCGTAAGCATAAATCATCTCACAATTTAAGATGCTTTTTTGACCATCCAATCCTGTTTGCAGCACTTACATAGGATGTAATAGGTGTCTCAACATATATACTAACATGACCAACTCCAAAGCCGATGTTCAGTCGTGGTAAAGTGCCTCAGACTTCCAACTAGGCTTCTGTATAAAGTTAAGTCATTTAATTTCCCCTCTCCAATTTGTCTCCATACCTGTTGTAACAGTATGGAATAATGGTTTGCACGATATTCATTATAAACTTCCTAAGTAGCTTATTTGTGTAGTTCTTCTCTAAAACAGAAATTAAACTTTGATGTGGACCAACTTCTATTCCAAGAATAAAAATAGTATACACATCTATCTCTAATTTTAAACTCATAAACTCGTAGAGCACGGCAGCCTTTGGCTAATGCAAGAGAAGGAAAAATCATCTTCATGTAAGCTAATTTTCAGAATATCTCCTACAAACTCATATGGCCATTTGATCAATCCAAATAGAATCTTAAAGTCTTAATAGCCATCAATGCCCGCAATTCAGCCGATAAATGCCTTCTTTCATGTCTTAGGTAAAAACTTTTGGTACTTCCACTTATGTCTTAAGACTGAGGAATGTGGACTTAAGAATGAGGAACAAATACTTCCACAATTAGTTTGTAGCCTTTTGCTACAAATTCCCACCCCCTTCTTACCCCCATCCGTCTCCCCCTCCAAAAAAAAAAATCAGAACCAGCAGTATTACCCATTAAAGAGATGCTTCTAGCATAACCTTTATGAGAGAATCGCTACATCAGACAAATTACAAATGAAAAGTCAATATTCCATCTCAAATAACTTGAATGCATTCTACCGTAACCTTTTACTTTCTTCTATTTAAGAAGCTAGAGACATCCACCATTGACCAGAAAAAAAGGCAAAGATGACATCTTCATATTAACATCTTTAAAAGGACCGGTCCTCCTATACTATCCTTCTGTTAAGGAGCAATCCTTAGATGCTTTTTCATTCTGTCTAAAAACTTCCCTTGCTATTTTACCACTAAGACTTATTTCAAAGGAGCCAACACAATAGATTAGAATCCATGCCCTTGGTTATCCATTCATTTTCTACTACCATCCAATACCTTCAATAATACTCTTTATTGACAAAATCTAAGAGAAAGCTAGCAATGGAGGAGTCCCGAGTCAAACTTCTATGTCACTAATAGTCTTTAACATCTTCCTCACTCAAAGACCTTTTAGGCTTTTACTCATCACTACTTATGTCTTAGTACCCACCAAAAATATTCCAAATTAATAAAACAATTCTCAACTCTAAACTATTGGCCATATTAAGAGGCGATCTGATGCTAACTTCCTATTGTCTCATAGTCCTTTATTCATGAAATATACAACTCCTCTTGTTAGCCCTCTTAGAAACTAAGATCAAAAATTGTTTCTTACTTCATACATCTAGCTTTCGGTTGCAATCACAGAAGACTTAATAACTAGTCCTTAGAACTTTGCTCTTCCAACAAAGCCAAACTAGTACATTAAACCCAACATGTCTAACAATCTCCTGAATTGAACAAAAGTCTTGACTCCATCAGACTATGATTCATAAACTTAGTTTGGAATAATTAGGATACAAAAATGTCTAACCAATCCAATCTTTTGGCTATGTATACAAAATCTACAACCACGTACAACTACTCATCAAAAAGAAATTGATCAAAATCCATAATTGAGTACCCACCCTTCTTTATTTCTTTTCTGCGATTTGTACTACAACAAACACCAAGTAACAAAACACTTTTTCATTTATACAATGTTCAACCACCAACGCGAGGCATAATCATAAATCTAAAATCAGATCAAAACATCATTCTTAGTAGTTAGTACAGAAAGCACCTTCATTACTCTTTCATAAAACTTACCAAATCAAATAACCAATTACCAAATCCATTCAACTTCATCAACCCTCAAGCATCTTCAGAAAATTTACCTACCCCATTGGTCCAAACTAGATCATAATTCTCAGAATATAAGCTCAACCTAACAATAAAATACAAACCCACCCAACAAAAATAAAAATAAAAAACCCCAAATATAGCAAAATATCTAAAACTATTATTACAACATAATTGATGAATTATAATCATAATTATAAGAAATTAAAACAAATTAGGAAAATGGGCTTACCCAGCAAGGGAAGTGAGGAGGAAGGAAGCAATGACACACCAACCAGTGACGGTAGAAGCAGTAACAGCGGCGAAATCGAAGAAATAAAAGAGGCTCATTCTGGAAACCCTAGTGCCAACTAAAAGGGCAAGCAATAACCCCAGTGTTACATAATACAAACATTGCAAACACACAATTTGAGCGACGATCAACCATGGGTCCCACACCACCGCCCCATAGAACATGGCTCTACTTTCTCTCTCCTACTGAATTTCGATCAACACTGAATTCCGATTCCAGTAATTAGGGTTCTACGGAACCCATGAAATCAAAATTCGGATCTTTTGGATTAAAATCGATGAATCAGATGTGAAAGAAAGATTAACAAATTATGTGAATGTTGAAGTGATTTGGAGAGTTGAAGATCAAATTGATCTGATTTGGGGGAATTGTTGAAATTAGGGTTTGATAATTGGAAAAAAAATCAGTGAATCGGAAGAGAAAAGGGGAAGAAAGGAGACCGTTGAGACAGCTGATTCTTCCACTTCACATAAACAGAGAGAGAAAGAAAGAAAGTGAGGAGAGAGAAAATCGTTGTAATTTTATGTTAATTTAGAAATGATTATTTATGTATGTTGATTATGATAAAAGATTCATCAACAGACCGCATAGCGCAGTGGATTAGCGCGTTTGACTTCGGATCAAAAGGTCGTGGGTTCGACTCCCACTGTGGTCGAATTTGCTTTTGCAGTTTGTGATCTCTTTTTGGTTTTCGCATAAAATGCAGCTTTATATATTAGTGGGCAATGCCAAGAAAATGCAAGTTTATCAATATGATAAACAAAATTTTAAATGGTAAAATTGTAAATAAATTAATAACTTTATATTAAATATAGGTCCCACTGTTGTTGATATATTTACGAAAATGCTATGATGACTGGACATTGGATCAGACGTTTTGGCTAGTGGCTAGTTTTGAGTTTGGGTGATGCCCTGCTTTGTTTATTTGATTTTGCAAAGACGTTTTGGCTAGAATGCCCATATTTGGTGATATTAGCTAAACTCAAGTCGGCTTAATTTTTGTAGACTCGTGAAAGATTTAAACTCAATACTAGTAAATACTTAGTATACGTTCAGATAACTAGCGTTGGGTCTGACCGTCTGAGTGATGCATACCTTATCAACTTTCCCAAAAATATATTCTTCACGAAAATAATTAGTAAAGTTCAACCAAATTATATTTGCCAGCCTAAATAATTGGACTGTCTTAAAAAAATTGAAAAAAAAAAACATTTTTTATCTCTAACAAACCTATATAAAACAAAAAAAAAAACAATCTACTGATTTGAGGGGGGGAAAAAAAAATACGAGTAGAGGCTTAGAGCACTAGAGATTAATGACTCAAATATTCAGTCAAAAGTGCCTGTGGATCTTGACAAAAAAGATTTACATACATCAGTTTCTAGTAACTCATCTTTACATGGCAATGGCAATGGCATTAGAATATATTACTTCGTGAAATTACAGTAATTATAAGCTAGAGCAAAATAATGCACGAAAAAAATCAATGATTAGAACCCAAGAAGGCAGACAATTTACCCGAGAGCTGTCACTGGCTACTTGTTCTTTTCCTCCGGGTAGTTTTCTTTACTGGTGCTGCAGTAGTATCAATAGCAGGCTCAGATTCTTGCTTTGGTTGGTTGTTAACAACTGTTTGAGTTTGAGATTCGGTTTCTTCCTCAGAATCACTGTTATTAGCAGGCGATTTTCGTTGCTTAGGCTTACCGTTAGATGCAGTTTTTGAGGAATTTACTTCAGCTCTCAATTTTAAAATTTCACCCTTTGCAGAAGCTAAATCATCTTCCAGTTTTCTGGCTTTCTTCTGCAAATTCTCTCTTTCAATACCAAGCCTCATAATAACACTCTGTGCATCTTCAAGGTTTTCTACGGTGTCTTGGGCAGCTTTCTTTTCAGTTTCAAGAGAATTGTTGAGGAATTCTTTTTCCTCCTCGAGACTGGAAATTTGGGAGTTAGACATCTCAAGATCTTTAGAAAGCACCAATGCTTGTTGATTCACCTCATCAAGTGATCTAGTTGCTTCATTCAGACTGGTCTCGAGAGATTTTCTTGCCTCCTTGTCCTTCAGTATTTGGTTTTCCAGGGTTTGTACTTCATTATTTAAGGAAGCAACCATCTTCTTCTCCTCTTTCAAATCATTGGTTGCACTTTCAGCCTTTTTATACACTTCAACCAATTCCTGCTGAAGGCTATCACAATTCTTAGATGTGGCTGTCAAATCCTTAGACACAATTTCTAGCTCCTTTTTAGTTCTATTCAGAGCCTCCTTCACTGAACTTAGCTCCCCAGCTAGTGTTTCTGAATGTAAAGTAGCCTCATTTAGGCTTCTCTGAAGTGACTCTCTTGTTGTTGAAAACTCTGCCTGAACTTTCGCGAGTTCAGCCTCAAGCCCTGAAGACAACTTTCGCGACTCTTCCAACAGCTTATTCAGATCAGATGCTTCCATTTTTGATGACTCAAAAGCTTCTTTTATCAGTTGAAGCTCCTGTTTTAAACTTTGCACAAATTTGGCTTCTTTATCAAGCATTTCCATATAGTTGTCCCTGTCTTGAGTCAGATCAGATATCAAAACCTGCTTAGCACTAGCTTCATTCACAAGCAGCTCGTACTTTTCTTTGAGTGCATTCAGTTCACTCTCTTTCTCCTCTAGAAGTCTCCTATCATCAGCTGTCTTTTTCTCAGATGATGACTTCAGATCATCATACTCATGCTCAAGCGTGTTAAGCTTTAATTTTAAATTGTCACGATCAACCGTCAAAGAATCAACACTAACATTCAGATCATCCAACATCGAATTCTTCTGCTCTAATTCATTTTGATACTTCAACAGCTCTTCATTCAAATTAATAATCTGTGATTTAAGATCATCAACCTCATCCCTAGTTTGTTTATAGGAAGAGTTCAAATCACTCAGATCAGAATCCTTTTGCGCAAGAGAGGAGTTAAGGCCTTGTATAATTTCCTCCTTTTCCTTTATTTCTGAACTCAACAAGTTAACTCTTTCTTGCAAGACTGCAACTGAGCCATCCTTCTCCTTCACTTTCTCTTCAAGTGAACCTTTTTCTTTTGCAGCCTTTTCAAGTTTTACCCCAAGATCTTCAATATCGAGCTGCAGCTGTTCTATTTTCTGCTTTTCACCTTGTAGCTCTCGACCTAGCCCAGTTATTGTGCTGTTTGCCGACTCTAAACGATCTACCAAAGACAACTGCTCTTCTTTTGCTTTGTTGAGTAGCTTATCCTGTTCTTCCTGTTTGTATGATAATTTTGACTCAAAATTCTTCTCCAAGGTTACAATGTCAGCATCCTTTTCCTTCAGTTGGTAGTTAAGCTGCAAGTTTCAAGACCGTTCAATAAGACAATAACAAACTATAAGAATTAACATGTTGCATCAAATTTTTGGGGACATTCCAAAATAAGTTAAGTAATAATGACACGAGGAAGTCTTATAGACTAAATATACAGATGAAAGCAGACGTTTCTATAAATAGAGGGAAAGGGAAGAATACCTAAAAATAATCAGTAAGAAGAAATGAAACAGATGATGGCTTACATATTCTATCTTCGCTTCTGATGTTGCCTTGTCCTTTCGCGCCAAAGAATAGAGAGCAGCAAGCACACCAGAACCAAGGAGTCCTATTGCATTTAATAGAGATAGAAAAGGATTTGATGATGGATTTCTTTGACGTGTTTGCTGCCAATAAAAGTTCCTCATTTCAGCTAATAGCTAACTTCACCAGGACGGAAAAAAAAAGTTAATCATTTTGAAGTATTTATCACAAAGAAAGAAAACAAACAAACCTCAATGGCTTGATTTTCTTCTCCGCTTCTTTCTTTATCTTCTGCTATAAAAGAAGTTACAGAACCATGTAAGAAACTCAGGACCACATAAACAGAAACCGCATTAACCATTGAAGCGTGTATACTGGTACATCTATCTTCCCCCACCCCCTAAAAGATACCCTTTAGATACCAACCCAAATCCCTAACCATGGTGTCATTCTATGGAAATCCAACCAAGTATGGGCCAAAAAGATTGGAAAGCTATTAGCCAAAAGCCTTTGAGTCTCTCCATGGAGAACCGCCCAAGTTACACCAAGAACCCCATTGTCGCAATAGAACTAGTGCTCCAATTGCTCTCTCCTTAGTGAAACACTTGGAGAAAATTATTAAACCCTCAATCTACACCTTCCACACACGCTCTTTTAAGAAGAAAATAGACAAGGGATTTGAAGATATCCAACTACAATACAGAACTACGTATTTATTGGCCTCTCAACAGACTATGTATTATTTTTTAACACCGATCACCAAAACTATCTTCTCGCCAATTAAAGAAGGATACATGCATCTGAATGTAACTGAGAGTTTTGGAATATGAACCCTAAGTTATTAAAAAATAATACTTCATAATAATTCGGAAATTTTGACTTTTACCACCTCCAAAAAACCACTTATTAGCTTTTACCACCTACATAAAAAAAAAAGTTTTATTTTACCACTAACAAAATTTCCAAAAATTGGATTTCACCACCAACTAACGGATTCATGGGGGCCCACCCTTTTGACGTTTCCTCTTCATCTCCCCCGATCTTCCATGTCAACCAGCCGGCAACGAAATCAACTCACCTCGGTTGCTCGAATGTTCGAGTAGGGCTAGGGAGGGGTCGGAATTTGGTGTTGGCTAAGGAGGGGGTCGGAATTAGGTGGTGGCTAGGGTTTTAGGAGTGCGAAATTTGGTGGTGACTAGGGTTTTAGGAGTGCAAAATTTGGTGAGGCTAGGGTTTTAGGAGTGGTCGGAATTCAGTAGGAGGGGGCTTTATGGGTGGTCGGAATTCGGTGGCTAGGGTTTTGAGGTCAGAAATCGGTGGAAAGGGGGCCGGAATCCGTGGTAGTGGCTGGTGCGTTGTGCGGTGCGGTGGCTGCTATGTGGCAAGTTGGTTGTGGGGCTGGTAGCCGGTCTAGCGGTGGGGCTAGTAGCCGTTCCGGCGGCGGGGCTGGTAGCCGGCCTGGCGGTGGCTGGAGCCGGTTGGTGGATGGGTTTTTATTTTATTTTTATTTTTTTGTTTTTTTAATTTTTTTTTTTTAAATTTTACCCAATAATATGGTGACACGTGTACATGGTAGGCCCACTAACAGATTTATGGACAGAATCCGTTAGTTGGAGGTGATTGGTGGTAAAAGCCAACTTTCATTTTTTTATGTGGTGGTAAAATAAAACTTTTTTTTATGTAGGTGGTATAAGCCAATAAGTGGTTTTTTGGAGGTGGTAAAAGTCAAAATTTCCTAATAATTAAATATATAAATAAAAATTAATGGGTTCTTTGTCCAGAATTAAGTTGGGAAGCCATTTTGGAGATAAGTGTTGTCGATGAGCCAAGCTTATTAAGAAAGAACAAAATTAATCAGTTGATTGAATAGTATAAATTACTACCAGAGAGAGAGAGAAAAGGGGGAGAGAAGGGGGGGGGGGGGTGGCAGTGCAGTAAGAACTACAAACAGCCTAAAACTGAGGGACACGTCTCTTTTAAGGATATATTTCAGTCTCAACCTCTTGATAAGAATAATTTAGCTTAAACATTCTTCAGCATCAACAACAAAGCCTACAAACATCCTAAAACTGAGGGACACGTCTCTTTTAAGGATACATTTCAGTCTAAACCTCTTGATAAGAATAATTTAGCTTAAACATTCTTCAGCATCAACAACAAAGCATACAAACATCCTAAAACTGAGGGACACGTCTCTTTTAAGGATATACTTCAGTCTCAACCTCTTGATAAGAATAATGTAGCTTAAACATTCATCAACATCAACAACAAAGCCTTAGTCCCATAATGATTTGGGGTGAGCTAACATGAATCGTATACGGAGCAGTCCGCAAAAAAATGTAATATAGAAAGAAAATGATATAATGAAAGTGGACAAAAAAAAAAAAAAAAAAACATAATAGCAAAAATGGGAGCAGTGTAAGTGAATGCCCAAAAAGAGAATACTAAAATTTAATATTGATAGTAGGGGGGGGGGTGGAAGGGGAGATAAAAAAAAAAAAAAAAAAAAAAAAAAAAAAAAAAAAAAAAAAAAAAGAGGGAAAATGTTAGTGAAAATACCAACATTTGAGAAAACCTTAACAAAGGAAATAAATAGACTTTGCAAAACACAAAGAATTTAGGAACCACCAAAAAAAAAGAAGAGGGTACATTTAAAGTCATGACATGTCCTCAACGAAAGGTTTTCCCTCCACCCTATTTAATCCCATATTTTCCTTATCCTCAAAAAACTCATCACTCTCAGTTAGGTCTTCCCCTACCCCTCACAATCACATTCCCATCACTTTGCCACTCTTCAAGCCTCCTTCACAGAGACTCGCTCGATCTCCATCTTACATGGCCAAACTACCTTAGGTGATTCTCCCTCATCTTGTTCTCAATAGATGTAACCCCTACTTTCTTCCAAATTATTTTATTTCCAAACCAACCCTTTCTAAAATTCTCCAAGGACTTCTAAGATATTGTTTAACTTCCTTAAATAAATGAATAGCAGGACAATTCAGATCAACATCACCTTCACCTAACTTAAATATCATCATCTGAGAGGATTGTGGAAGCCATCAGTCCCTAGGGCCTAGAGTCCTAGATCATTACTGTTTCTTACAGTTTGACTATAAGACTGTTTCTTAAGATTTGACCACCACCATGAGGATATGTTAAAGGGGGAATTGAGTTGGCTACAAATGATGAACTAGTTTCTAGGCTCTGTTCTTCCTCCGATTGAGAATGATCAACAATAATGATGGACAATTCTCTAGGCTTTGTCCCCTCTCTCTCACCAAGGGAAAACAAAAAGAAAAAGAAAACACTATAAGAATTCACAAAAACAAGCCTTGCACCAATATATCTGCTCATCCTTTGCAAATAAGAGAACATATAGGCGATAATGTGTAACAGTTCAAGCTTACTGTTTATGGCAGCTTCAAGGAGGCAACCTCCAGCTCTAATAGGAAGATAGAGAGAGGAAGAGAGGAAATAGAGAGAAAAGAGGAGGATTTATTATCATCCTCAACATAAAGATCAATTACAGCTCGTTCATTATTTATATCAGCAGCTAACAAATGAATTGATTAGTAAGTAACTTAAAAATTAACAGAATTCCTAGTTAAAGGAAAACAGAACTAACTCCTATTCTACTAATACTCCTGTTACATCATGTGATATAAGAAATCATTTATAGATCTGTAAATAGCGAGGATATCAGAAATCAGAATACACCAGGCTTCGAAATGCACAGGTAGCAAACAGAGGTAGCCCTAAGCACTAAAAAATTATATTAGGAAGTTGAGAAGAGACAGGGATTTGAACAGAACTAAAAAAAAATCTACAGCCTGCAGAAAGATGGGAAAACAGTATCCAGACTACTCACTATCCAGGCAACCAAGGGTGATCGAGAAGATAAAAAATGATGTAATGGCTAGTTCTCACCTCCTCTCTTTCATCAGACTGCAAATTTCACGTATGCCCTCTAAAATCATTGATAAATAACAGGAAAGAAGGACAAAGCAAACCATAAAATACTCAAAGGACTTAGCTCCACCTCAAAATATCTTTGCTGGTGAAGAAGACTCTTAGACATGTCGCATTGTCTCTTGAAAGCGTTGAAACCTTAAGATTAGGCCAATAATAATCTACAAAATCCTTTGAGCAACAAATTAACCTGCTAATCCACTTCCTAAATCCTAATTCTATATCTCACTGTCAAATTGCACATTCTTTCACCAACAACAAATCTTCTCTCCTTGACACCATCATTCGAAAGGATTATAATTCCATCTGAAACTATAAAATGTATGCTGATCCTTCTCAATCATCAACATTCCTGTCAATAGATCATCCAAACAGCCCAACTTCCTTTCCTAATGATTTGGAATAACATCCAAAAGCCGACGAATTATTAGTTAATCTTACACGCAACCTCCTATAAAGATTCTAATACTACTACAACTGAAAATTCAACTAAACTATTTCCCATCAATATATGACTGGAAAAAAATTATTTAAGAAAATCTATACATATACAGTAAAAGATGAAACAGTAATAATTCAATACACAAATACAGTGAAAATCGAGCAGAATTCCAGTGTTAAAGAGCATGAAACACCAGATTAAAACCCAGAAAAGTCACAGCATTAAACAAAGAATAATCAACACCCATCTCATCAAACACTAAAATTAGCAAATGCATGAAATTATTCCAAACAAAAAATTAAAAATCAATACCCTAAAACAGATTTACCAGAGGCAAAAGCATCATTATTCCAAGGCAAAAGGGGGAAAACTGAGATGCCCAGAAGCAACAAAGCTCTCCTTTTACAGGAATCAATATCTTGTGGGGTCAATTGGCGATGCAAAGAAGCCATTGGAACTCTGCAATTTTTACTGCTTCTTTTTTTACCCTCTGCATTTCGAAGGTAGAGGAAGAGTGGACGAGAAGAGAGAGAAAGAGATGAAGAAGAAGGATGAGAAGGAGGAGGAGAGAGAAAATGGTGAAGAGGAGAGTGTAAAAAATAAGAGCTTCCCATTTTTTAGTGTAAATCAACAATGGCGGATTTGGGTGATTTTGTTGTTTCTGAGATAGAGAAGAGCTCAGAGACTGACACCTTGGTTCAATGGTTTGGTTTGATTTATTCTTACTATCTCTATTTTTAATTTAAAAATTGTATTTTTCTCAACAAATAAGATGAGAAAATGTGGAATGTGATACTGTTATCAGTTTGTTGTCACCTGAGAAATTTTTGGAGCCCTTAAAAAACCCCTTAGCCATGTCTCGAGCGAGTGAGTAGTGAGTGATGCATAAGCATTTTAAGAGAGAGAGGAAAAAAAAAAGTCAATACAAGATAAGAATCGCAAGTTGTGATAAGAAAAATTATTACTCGTATAGATTATATTATCTTAATACACCCCTCAACGGAGTATTATGATGGACGAATCAGACAAAACAAAAAGCAATTGTATTTAATTTAGATACTACGTATATAAATAACACAATTAAGTTACGCCTCTGATATCCTCTAGACTTATTGTAAGTATCTTTTGTTGAAAGTTCAATAGAGTGCTCAAAATAAAAACTCACATATAAAGGAGAGGGAAAAGGGGTGAATGAAACCTAGATCATTGTCTTGTGGATAGAATAATTATGTTTTAATGTACCTTGTATATATATGAAAGCATCTCTTTACTTAATGTTTAAAAAGGAGCTAGAAGGCTTAGTGGACCACATACGTGCACCATCAGGCTGGACTTGGATTTGTGCTCTTTATTAGGACCTTTTTTTTTTCCTCTCGTGAATTGCAAAATATTTGACTTGTCATTATTAGCAAGATTTCTTAGTCGTTACAAATCAACTGCTACTTTAATTGAGTCCTTGATTTTGTTATTTGTTCGGTTCGGTTCCGTTATTTGCTCCTCTAATTAATTGTTACCTGCTTTTATTCTCCATGTCTAGCCTATTTAAACCCATTCCTTATTCAAACCAAAACACATAGAAATCATCACACATTTATTTCCTTAAAATTATTCTCTAAATCTGAGCAAAAAATATAATTTTTATTTGTTAATTGTGAATGCACACAATTTACAAAGTGGTGCTCATCCTAGAAGGTGACGATGGCAAAGTTTTTACTACATCGGGGATTCGGGGTAGTGCGATATCGTCCTTGAGGACATTGTTCATCTCCATATAGCGACAATTCTCAATTTCATCTATGTCACATCCAAATAAGTTTTTGTTGCTTTATTTTTAATATCTTTTGATTCAAAATATGAAATGAACTATCTAAATTTCTATGCAAGTGAACTAACATTTATAACGCAAGTTTAATCAATATCTTTACTACTCAAGTGAACCAACGTTTATAAGGCAAGTTTAAATGACCAAAGAGAATGTTGTTATGGTGTTGTAGACAATTTTTCGCCAACATGTTTAATTGCTCGCTTGCCTTGCAGCCTACCCTAATGTGCATCGATGTCGATGCTAGCTTGCTACCCATTACAATATACATCCCATTGTGACATGAAGTAGCTCCGACTTACTTTTCCCACCCCTACAAATCTGATCAATCATCGTTCAATTAAAGCAATACAAATTTAAGAGTTGATGTACTATATGAACTCTTATTACAAATTTTATGATTCCAATACCAACTTCAACCATTTCAACATAAATACAAGTAATTAAACTAGTTGACATTCACTTTTAACTCGATAATAATCTTGTCGCCCAATCTCGTACAACTATCTCTTGGCTCGAAGTAAGAGCCAACATGTGATCTGATGACATGAACGGTAACTGATTACCTGAAGCACAAAAATGAGATCATCACCATCAGCTGGCCGAGGATAACGCACTCAGCTCATTTAGCAGGGGACACATTCCCTGCTCTTCCTTCCTAAATCTTCAAACCCCCTTTTCTCTCTCATCCAAATGTGTTCAGTTTCCCCTTTTTAATTTCATCTGAAACCCTTTGCTGCAATTAAAATAAACAAATTTCCACCAAAATGTCATTTGGGGTTTTTCAATACCTTGAAATTGGGCGCTAATCAATGTCAATTTTCAATCTAGAACTGTAATTTGTTGGGAATTTTTTCTGGGTCACAAAGACGCAATCTTTGAGGTGAGATTCTGGATTTATTTGCGTTTTTTAGTCTTTATAATGTAGAATTTTTGTGGGTTATTACTGAATCTTGAGATTTTTAGGGTATTTTGTTGTTGTTTGTTGTAGATTTCCTTGATGTTTCAATAAAGGGTTTTGAATTGCATGTACATTTCATTTGTAATTCTGAGCAGATTTGATTAGTGTAGGTAGGAATTTAGCCTTTTTATGGAAGGAATTTGAGGTGTGATTGAAGATGCATTGTGGGCTGTTTGGAATTTTGGTGCAGAAAATCATTTAGTTGCAGTAAAAGCAGGCCTGAATTGTGAATTTTGATTTAAGGTAATCTTCTTGTGGTTGGAATGCAATCTTGATAAAGCAGTTTGAGGGTAACTTGTGATTTTGTTGCTTAAATTGAGAATGGATGATGATAAGGATAACGGTTCGAGATATATTCCGAAAGCATATGGTCTGAATGACCAGCAAGAGTATGGTTCCTCGCTCCGCCCTAAGGGTTCTGGATTCAGTGATAGGTATCCTAGGGAGAGTAATCGATATCCCGGTGATGAGGAGGAAGATATAGAAGATGAAGAATTAGGGGAAGAAGATGTGGAAAGGAATGGTGTTCGAATGATAGGCAAAGATACTTATGATGATGAGGGGGACGAGGAAGAGGAGGGGGAGGAGGAGGAGGAGGAGGAGGAGGATGACTCTGATGATGAAGAAGAGGACAATGATGATCACGAGGATGGTAAAAGATTTAATGGGAAGGCAGAGGATATCAGCAATGGAATGCCTAGAAAGAAGCGGAGGTTAAAGACTATAATATCGAATTATGAATTTGCTCCGCGTGTGCCCACCCCTACCGTTCAGAAAGCTACATTGCTTCAAGCTCAGCCATCATCTAGTGGGCAAAATTCTGTGGGAGATTGGACTGAAAAAGAGACTTTTGCCTTATTAGATGCATGGGGAGAGCGGTTTCTTAGACTAGGCAGGAAGAGTCTTCGTTCAGATGATTGGCAAGAAGTTGCAGAAAAGGTGTCACAGGAGACAAATGTTGAAAGAACTGATGCTCAATGTCGAAATCGATTGGATACATTGAAGAAAAAGTACAAAAAAGAGAATACCAGGTTGACAGCAGGTGGAAGTGGCGTTAGCCAGTGGGTTTTCTACAGAAGGATGGATATGTTGCTGTCTTCTCCACATCAGCAAACTGGCCTTTCATGTGGAATTGACTCGGGGGAGTATGTATTTATGAACTCTAACGTGTACTTGAATCGTGCAAATGGGTTGGATGAGATGAGAGATAGCCCGGGAAATTCAGATTATCTGAGAGATGAGGACGGCAATGATTCAGATGGACTCCCACCTAAGGGAAAGAAGAATAAAGGGAGAAGAGTTGACGGTTCTTCTGTCCAATTGCTTGCTGATTCTATTGAGAAATTCAGTGAGATATATGAGAAGATTGAAAGTAATAAGAGAAAGCAGATGACAGAGTTGGAAAAGATGAGGATGGATTTCCACAGGCAACTAGAAACACAGAGGAGGGAAATTCTGGAGAGAGCTCAAGCCGAGATTGCAAAAATAAGACAAGGCGACGATGATGAAAATGATCTCTCTGCTGAAAACCTCAGTGGATAGTGATCTAATATGTAGTGATTAGTATTCAGTTGTAGCTCGTAAATAATGTAATTCATGTTCATCGATTGCCTGCTAAATGTTGTACCATATTCTGTAATAGGGGGTTAGCATGGACAGGTTGTATTTTTACAGATTCAGGCACCTCATTTGACAGTTTATCAGAGTTTCTTAGGTTAAAGTCGATTCAAAGATTTCAACGCTTGGCAGAACTATATGTATTCCAAATCAATGGAAATTTATAACCATAATGCCTGTTTTAAGTCCTTTAGGCCTGCTATTCATAACTTTGCTGCAGAGAGCTTCTTTTACCACAATAGTTTTCTGGGTTCAACAAGTTAAACACAATTAGCGTCAACAAAGTGTATCTGACTCACCTTAGTTATGAACATTGTAACATTTCAATCAGCAGTGAAGGCATAATATGGATCCAGCCATCTGCATAGCATCACTCCTTTCCACACAGATCTAACTTGAGATGCCCAAGCTTTTTTATGTCCTGGTTCTTCCTCACCATCCAAGATCCAGGTACTTCAGTTCAGTCAAGGAGCAACCATTCAATACACGAGTTTAACAAGTTCCCGATGCTTCTATAAGGAAGTTTACCTCAACAACTTCAGGCCAAATTATAAATGGGTTTTTGACATCTCCAGAACCCCCATATAATCCAAAGACGGGTCACATGCATTCAGATAAGACAATGCAAATGCTCTAGTCTTAAATGGATATCTCAAAATAATAAAAAAAACATGTTATCAAAATAAACAAATTAATAAAAAAAATATGCATATATATGACTAAAGGAATGTGTTACAATAAATACTACATACTCCGTATGTATAATACATTCTTAAAAAGACAATAGTTATGTAACCAAAATATGGAATTAGTGAGAAACTTGTCATCAGTACAAAAGAAGCAATTTCCAGAGGAGAATGATTTTCCCACGCTCAACTCCAAAAGGATTAACTCCAGCTAGATGATGGGCAGCTGTTCCCATCACTTTTAACATGAGAAAACGATACAGAATTAAAAATATTACTCAAAACAAGAATGTCCTCCAGAATGGCATCAAGGTCCGTGTTAAAAATCGCTGCTCTGTTCAATCTGCTCACAAGTAGTTCACAATCCGACTCCGCCACTATGTCCTTCAGTCCGTATCTTCTACCAAGACAGAGCGCCATTACTATGGCTTTAGCTTCAACTATACTAGGGGACCACCAGGCTTTAATGCGGCATAGAGCAGCAAGCAGAACCTCCGCTTGACTGTCCCACGCCACCACTCCTAACCCGGCCCAACCTTCAGTATTCAGGGCTGCATCAATGTTCAGCTTAATCACACCATCAGGAGGGGGCTGACCATGTTTTCTGATGGGAGGGTTTCTTCATCACAGGCTTGGAATAATTTGTTTTGCATACATGCCTTGTTCTTCCTTTAACCTGAACACACGGTTCAGTAAGATAGTGTTTGGCGTTTCTTTCCTGTCAAACACTTTCTTATTTCTTTCAGCCCATAACCACCATGCTAGGATGGAACCACGCTACTTTAATTTGGTGTCAATATTCCTCCACTTTGCCAGCATCTCACAGAAGGATTTTGAGTCCCCAACTTCCCATCACGCATCAAGATATTGCACTTAGTCTCCTCCCACAGACTCCTAACTCGGATACATTCATACAGTACATGCCATGGACTTTCTTGTTCTGACTGGCACCAAGAGCATGAAGAATCCTCAATCAGGTGGCAGCTCTTATAAATAGTTCAGGTAGGAATTGTGTTGGTACACAATTTCCAAAGAAAGCGGCGGACCTTAGGTGAGACATCAAGGCTCCAAATTTCAACCCAAGCGTGATGAACTTCATCAAAATTACAGCTTTTCCTTAGCATATAAGCTGATTTTACAGTGTACTCACCTTTCCTTCGAAAAAGCCCAGGATATTTCATCCTTTGGGGCACTACTGATGGGGATAGCAAGTATGCATTTCTGATCCCTAACAAGTAACAAATCAGTCCTCCATTCCATACGCTCTGCATCAATTAGATCACTCTCATTAAAATAATCCTCTAACAAATCAGTCCTCCATTCCATACGCTCTGCAATTCCCACGTGATTATGTTTTTTGTTATGTATAGTTCACTAACATTGGTCAAAGTAGAGCATGTGAATAGTGCTAAAGTCTAAATAGGCATATTTATAAAAAAAATGGACTCTTAATGAGTAATTTTTTCATCCATTAAATTTATTTTTTTTTTAAAAAAAACCAAGAACAAAACAAAAAACTAAAAACTTTCCTGAGGATGACATATTAACACTAAAAAGGTGCTTCTATAAATGCATGATTTTGCTTGTTGCTTGGGATGTAAGATTGGAACACAAAGACTTGTTTAGTTGTTATAGATGAAAACAACACTACAAAACATAAATAGCTAGAAAATCAGAAGTGCAAACTAGCCTGATCGCCAAAGCCAGAAAGGAATTGGTAGGAGAGATGCTTACTCATCAATGAACTTAGGATATTACAGCCTCACTTCATCCAATACTGTAACAAATGGCTCATCAGACTAATATGAAAACCAACGAAGCATTATGAAGAAAATATCCTCATAAATCACGCAGATATCGACCTATCATTACACTGGAAAGGTTAGTATTTAGATTTCATAACCCATGAAAATTTAAACAAATGAATAGTCAATTAAGGCAGCAGACAGTAACAAACAAGCAGCATACCTGACTACTGTGCAAAAGTTGGTGGTGTAGGCTCATCATCTATCTTTCCCACTGCCTCAAGAAGTGATGAATATGTAATTTGGTCATACTGAAAACCATTGTTATTCATCTCTTTCATCAATTTCACAGACTCCTCAAACATACCAGCACGACTAAGACAACTAAGCATAGTATTGTAGGAAACAGCATCTGGTTTGATGGGTAAATTCTTCATCTTATCAAACATTTCTATTGCTTGTTTTGGACCACCTGTTCGAGCCACACCATTTAATATAATATTTCGTGAGTTTATATCTGGTGCACAGCTATTTTCTTCCATAGTCTGAAGCAACCTTTGTGCTTCATTTATCATGCCAGCTCTCGCCAATGCAGACATAAGTGCATTATAAGCATAAACATTTGGACTGCAGCCAACTTTCTTCATCTCATTGAAAAGATCTATTGCTTCATCAAGACAACCACTTTTACCATACTGTTTAATCATTACGGCATAAACTCTAGCACTTGAGGTACCAGAGGTTTCTTTCAGCTCCTGGAATAGCTCCTTTGCAGCATCATATCGTTTTGCTTTTCCAAGGCTATTAATCAGACTGCAATATGCTGCTGGGCAAGGAGGAAAACCCTTCTCATCCATTTCTTCAAGAAGCATCAAAGCCTCCTCAACTCTATGCTTCTTGCAAAAACCATCAATCAGAATGGAGTAAGTGTAAGAGCTAGGGGCAATCCCAACTCCCTTCATTTTATCGAACAATGCAGAGGCCTGAGCTAGTGGAGCATTGGCTTCAAATAAACATTTGATTACTGTGTTATATGTGACCACATTTGGTATACACTGCAAAGATTCCATATCTTCAAACACCTTAAGAGCCTCAGCCAAAAAACCAGACCTGCCTAAAACATTTATTAAGTTGTTAATTAAGACAACATCTGGCTTGCATCCTTCTTTTAGCATACTTAAAAAGGTGTCATAAGCCTCATCCACTCGGCCAAGTTTACCTAGTCCCTTAATCAATTCAGTATACGTGTAAACAGTTAGAGAACACCCCTTTTCTTTCATTTCTTTGACCAGATCCAATGCCTTGTCAGCCCTGGCCTGCTTGAAATAAATGGCCAATATTGCTGTATAGATCTTTGCATTGGGAACTAATCCGTTCTCCTTCATCTCATCAAACAACCTCACAGCAGAATCGTCACGGCCCAGTTTTCCAAATGCTTGTATCAAAGCACCGTAAGTTACTGTATCAGGGAAGCAGCTGTCATCATTACACATCTCATTATAAAGCTCATGCACCTTTTCATACTGACCACCTTGCATCAACATCAAGATGAGGGAGTTGTAAGTGCTTGACGTTGGTTTACACTTGTGCCTTTTAATCTGATAGAAGATTGAAACTGCTTTGTTCAGCATCTTAGCATGGCCTAGAACTCTCAGAACTTCAGAAAATTCAGATGGGCTAAAGTGACATGAGCTTCGAACGAAGTCTTGGATTGTCTTCCAAAGTTCACTAGCTGATCCAGCTTCAAACAAACAATGGATCAAAGCCGTGTAACTGGTAGAGTCATGCTCAAAATTCCTCCTTTTCCCTGCCCACTTAAAGAACTGAATCTTGACATTTATATCAACATCTATTTTAAGAACTTCACATACCAATCTATGATCCACCCTTAGCTTAAGTACTTCCAAAGCCTTTTCAGCATCAGGCCCCCACTTAAATACTTTCAAAATCCTGATAAATCTCTCGTCTAATGCTCGAGCATAACTCTTTCGACTTGGTGACGTGTTTTGGGTATCAGACACTGGATTTTTTACGAGAAACATTTTGACAATCTCATTATCTGCAGTGTGACAAAAGACATGTAGGAGTAAAGGAACATTATTCAGATGTATATACAGTGATGGACATATGACTGATAGAAGATAGCAGGCAAGAAACAGACTCCAGATCATTTTATTATTATTAAACACTCGACCAATGAAAAGAGCAGAAATCAGAACCAATGTTCCATTCAACTATCATTTGATGCTATACAAGTCAGAGTTGTCTAGAACCTCATTTCAAACACAAACTAAAATGCCTATATGGTCAGCTCAGTTCTTTTTTCAAGAATGTGTTTGTGAACAATAAAGTAAAAAAAGTTAAAGGAAGTCCTAAGATTTGGGAAGAAAGGAAGAAAAATTAAGTATAAGGTTGGTTGAATTGGTTCTCTTAAAGTGGAGACAACATAACTTCAGTTCACTTCTTGCTATGTCTTTGTCAAACCAAACTCATGCAAATCCCGCTTATCAACCAAACAATTCAAATGCCACTTCCCAAACTTTCTCTTCTCTTCTGTCCTCTTCCCATCAAATCAGAGCAGCAGTTCAAAACTAGCATGGTTTTCTTTTTGAAATGAATAGCCAAAATACATACATTGTAAGTTTGTAACATTAAATGCACGACAAAAAATCCTAAAATTAGCGGAGTTTTACATAAGGATTAATAGCGTGCACTCTACCTGTTTGTTTAATTCGTTGGCATAATCTAGGAATCGCTGATATTGCTCGCCTTCCAGTAGCCACACCAATCATCATTTCTCCCGCGTTAAGCCCCTACAAGTAAGTTAATCCCACACGAAACCCCCATCAAATGATAGAATACCTCAACAAACAAAAAAACACCCAAAACGAAGAGTTCATCACTTTGGGTCACTCAACACATTGCTATCATTTTCAATTAACGAACAAATTCAGGCTCGTTGCTGAGTCAGGGCAAGAGAGGCAGCTGCTTTGGGTCATGATTCCATGTTCATAGTTCATTTCAAACATTTAAGGGTTTTGCAACACATTATCAACCAAATTTGACTCAAATATCAAATTAATTCTTCTTGTTTAAGCAAATGAATACCAAAATTCTAGCATTGTAATAATGTTTCAATAATTACATTATAAGCAATAGTTCAATAATCAATCATACATAAAAGAACCCTAAATTGAGTTAGATTAACGATTAACACTAGAATGTGAAACTGATATTTGATGATCAAGAAAAACATCTTACTTCTCAGTAGCTGCTTCAATGGAAGAGAGAAAGCTCAAAAGCCGCTTCAATAAAGAAAAGAAAGCTCCAAAGACGCTTCAATGGAGGATTCAGAGTACGCTTCAATGGAGGAAGAGAGAGAGGGTGCACTTGAAAAACAATACAAGTATTAATTGTTTTAATTATATTGGAAAAATTGATAATTACTCACTCTCTACTCTCTACTCTCTAGTCTCATTGTTCTATGGAGTAAAAGTTAGGGGTAAAGTTAGGGCGTTCAATATTCTGATTAATCACGAAATTCAATTCACTATTTGGATTGGATTTTTTAAAAATCAAATCGAGTTGAAATTTTGAAAAATCTAATTTTTCAAATCAGATTTGATTGATCAAATAAATTGAAATTGTTCTTGAAGTTATTAAATATAAGTATAAAATTTTCAAATTTAATACTACCTCCTTTTCTTATTATATACAACAAAGGAATATTTTATGTCTCATAAATAATGTCTCTTTGTTAATAATAAGAAACGGAGGTGGTAACATAAATAGGACAATAAGTTAACCCAATTAATCAATTTTAATCCTCCTCAACTCATATTTTGAAATTGGGATCAATATAAGTCAATTTGTAATATTTTATAACTATCTAATACATTAATAAAATGGGTCATTCACTCGTTTGGCCCCAAAAAAATTATAGTTTAATTTAGTTTAGAATTTCGGATTAGATCCAAATTATTTATATCTAATTCACATTGGTTTTAGAGAAAGTTCGATTAGATTGGATTCAATTATTCAAAACTAAATTTTAATTCAAATCAGATTGGATTTGACCCAAATCCAAATCAAATACTGAATAAATACATCTATACCAAAATCGGAAAGGTGCTGATATTCAGATTCTAGAATATGTCTTAAATATTGTGAAAAGTTAAATGGGCAAACAAATAGGACCAAAAGAAGATTCAAAATGCATGGACTGTGTACAAATTTACTAATGTGTTTAATAAGTTATCGGAAATGATAGTTATTTTGAAATTTGTTTTAATGTTTTAATTTTTGAACAAGATAGTCAAATTTGCATAGACAGATGATTATGGCATGTCGAGAAAAAGGAGGTTACAGCAAGGGACTTGTTATTCATCGCCCGCAAATCTCTACATAAAGCCCACATTTTATAATTTTTTGACAAATTTGCCCTTTTTATAATTTTAACCGAAGATAAATTTTTCGCACTAAAAAAATGTGGAGCAGCACCGGATCGCCGAGGATCACCGGAGAATCGCCGTCGTCATCGGAAAACGAGGTTCGTAACGCATCGTAAGGACGAAATGGTGGCTGGCGCCTAGCCAAAAGGCCATGCCGTGGTTGTGGCGCCTAGCCAGGACGCCGCCACCGTGGTCACGGCGCCTGGTGGAGAAGCCTCGACCATGGTAGTGGCGCGTGGCCAGGACGCCGAAGCCACGGCCAGAGCGCCTGGCCAGGACGCCGCCACCATGGCGGCGGCGTCCTGACCAGGCGCCCCGGCCGTGGCTCCGGCGTCCTGACCAGGCGCCCAGGCCGTGGCTCCGGCGTCCTGGCCAGGCGCCACTAGGGGAATATATATATATATTTTTTATTTTTTTTTTTTGATTTTTTAATTTAATCCCCTTTTTTTTTTTTGTTTTTTTGTTTTGTTTTTGTTTTTTTTTTATTGGTTTGTTTGTTTTTATTTTTGTTTGTTTTTCTTTTTTTTTTTTTTTTTTTTTTAATTTAATCCCTTTTTTTTTTTTTTTTGTTTTATTTTGTTTTATTTTGTTTTGTATTTGTTTATTTTTTTTTATTATGGTTTTTTTTGTTTGTTTATTTATGTTTGATAAATTTGAAATGAAATGTGTGTTATTATTTTGTTTTTTAAATGTATTATGCGTTAAATATAAAAATGATATTTAGAAATTTAAAATTTAGAAATTGCGTTTGTGATAATTTTGTGTTAAGTGTATTAATTTAATCTTAATGTAATTATATTTATACGTTATATGTTATTGTTACAGGATTATGGTGGAGACGGAAATGATTACAGTGGGATTTTTGTACATGATGGCCTGTTCGAAGATGCTCAACAAGCGATTGATTGGGCAAAACAGGTTGCAATTAGATCAGGCTTTTGTTTAGTAGTAGCAACTCATAAATCTCAACGGGATGGTAGAATGGATGGTAGAATGGATGCTTTGTACCATGCTCGCGTGCAACAGTGGAACAATTTAATTGCCATGTAGTTTTTGTTGATGTACACCTACCTTTTACTATGAGGCCTTGTATTGTCAATACTATGTCATTTCTATGTGTTCATTTTTAAAAGATAATGTTTCATTTTAAAAACTAACAACAATAATTTCACAATATTACAAACTAAAAAGATAATATTGAATTTTAAAAACTAAGAACAATAATTTCAAATATTACAAACTAAAAAGATAATGTCTAATTTCAAATATCAGTAATCCCTCTGTGACGCCCACTGCCACTGCTCAAGAGTCCGTTCCAGATCGTCAATAACAGCTCTGCCTGATGCACTCGTCATGCAGTCCCTTTCCTCAAAAAGTCGGTGTCCCAACTGCATAATCTTGCCCATCCACTACACAAAACAAAAAACATGAAACGACGTATTATACATATATATATTAAAATAAGAGAACAACAAATAAAAGATGAGACGTACCGCATAAGAGGCAGTGGCAGGTGGCACATCGTCATCATCTGCGTCGTCGATGTCTTTGATCAACCTCGGGTGCGAGTGCCGGATGTACCATTCCATGTTTGCCGGCCATTGGACGACGTACTCCTTCGACGACGCAGATCGTACCGCCTTACTGGGCCATGCCGGTGGAGGTGGGACAACTTGGACAAATCCAAGCTGGCGAAGACAGCGCTGCGGCATGTACGCCTCTACGATCTCGCGATACTGAATCAGTCCGGTGTAGAGGGTCCTGGGTACCCTATTACTAGGGTTCTGGCCGAAAGGCATCCAGTTCACCTGCACATTATTTAAAATCAGTAACAGTCATAAAATAAAGCATCAGATTGTAAAAGTAGAAATAATTTAATCACTGTACCTCTAAGGGGGACATCCTGTCAAGCGATAACCGTATGGAGCGCAGGCGGTCAACGGACTTCTTCTCGACACGCGGACTCCACGCACAGGCACGTGGCTGGCCATCACCAATGGGAACCGGGTCGCGGTGTGGTCGAAACGCAGGAAAATACTCATATATCCAGGTCTGTAACAACGTCAGACATCCAGTGATACCTGCTGCATCAGCCCGGCTCGAGAATCCTAACTGGCGATACAGATACGCCAGCGTAGCCGACCCCCAAGAAAACTGGCCTACTCTGTCGGGCTCACACGCGTCAACTATGTCGCGTGGCCTGAGCTTGTTCCCGCTCTTATCCGGAAACAAGGTACACCCGAGAAGAAGAAAAACATATGCAGCCAGCTGTGTGTCCTGCGTCCTACGTGCCGTAGGGTGCAAACATCGCTGCAAGACGGCTGCGATCTTAACGCCGCCGTGATCCCACACACCAAGTGCCGATGTGTACAGCGCAGCCCTATCCACCGCCAACAGCTCCGCTAGTAAATCTGCCTGATCCGCATCAGTGACGACAGATGCTCGGTTTCCCTCCACGGGAATCCCAAGGATGGCCTCGACGTCATGCAACATGATCGTCATCTCACCGAACGGAAGGTGGAACGAGTTCGTATCCGGCTGCCATCGCTCAACGAAAGCCGTGATCAGCGTCCAGTCAATCATGTCGTGCATGGTGGCAGGAAGGTGACTCACTCTAGTGCCCCTCAATCGCCCGACCATCTCGCTCTCCTCCGGCCAAGCATCAGCCCAGCTACACAAAAACCTACAAGTCTTTTCCCGGGTTTGGCATTTCAAAATGCCTGTATCCAAAGCCCTCTCCTGGTCCTCCCAAATACGGGTAGCGATGTGTCCTAAAAAGCTAGGAATCACGCTCCCGTCTATAGGTCCCCCGGCCACCTCACCCCTCACCATCCAAGAATCATTAACGGCCCTCGACCGTTTTCTGCTACCCGCAGACACAGTGGACGCAGATGATGTGCCAGATCTACTAACAAACCTACCATCTCGACCCTTACGCACATCTACCCTATGCGTCTCATACGTATCATCAAGCCTCTGACTGAATGGACCGTAATCATCATATGGTCCACTCTGATCGTCGACATCCTCATCTGCATCATCCTCGTCCTCGACCTCCTCCTCCTCGACCTCCTCCTCCTCCTCCTCATCATCATCTTGATCGTCCGCAGAACAGTGCACCCGTTCTCTGCGGGCCGAGGCCGAAATACCACGGGATCTAACGTGTCTGGGCCCCGAGCTCTCCATTGAGTAGATCGTACTCCTCACGACGTCAATACTCTTCCCCGCACCAGGTCCAAATTGCGATGTCTAACTCCAAGTAAATAACGAAACATAATAACGAAAACAAATTAAAAAAAGTCGAAAATAAACACAAAAGCAAATAAACAAGTCACGGAAATAAAATTATAAACATAAAAAATATAAATATATACAAGACAATATACATATAAACATAAGAAATATAAACATAAACATATACCAAAAACAAAAAATATAAACTACAAACAAAAAAAAAACAAACATAAACAAAAACAAAAACAAAAAATATTACCAAAAACAAAAAATATAAATACAAAAAAGGAAGGACGAAAATAAACACAAAAGCAAATAAACAAGTAACGGAAATAAAATTATAAACATAAAAAATAAAAATATAAACAACACAATATAAATAAAAACATAAAAAATATAAATATAAACATAAAAAAATATAAATATGAACAAAACAATATACCAAAAACAAAATATATAACCAAAAACAAAAAATATAAACAACAAACTAAAAAATGAAAAACATAAACAAAAACAAAAAATCAAAAATGCAAAGAAAAAACCAAAAACAAAAAACTCACAAAACTTAAAAAATTTAAAATTGCAAAAACTTAAAAAAAGAAGAACATCAAAATTTTAAAGAAAATTTATAAAAAAAAAAAGGGAACTTATAATTTTTTTACATACAAAAATATAATTCAAAAAAAAAAAAAAAAAAACATAGGAACATAAAATTAAAAATTAAAACCAGAAACAATCTTTTTTTTTAAAAAAAAAATAGAACATAAAATTAAAACAAATAAAAAAACAAAATTTAAAAAAAAAAGATAAAAAAAAAAAGGGAACATACAATTTAAAAAAAAGAAAAACAAATTTTTTTTAAAAAAAAAAAAAAATTCGAAAATAAAATTTAAAATTAAAAAAAACAAAAAAAAATTTAAAAAAAAAAAGAGAAGGAGGCGCCTAGGCAAGACGCCCATACGGTGGTGGCGGCGCCTAGCCCAGACGCCACTACCACGGTTGTGGCGCTTAGCCTATGCGCCGCCGCCGTGGTAGTGGCGTCTGGGCTAGGCGCCGTCACCACCAAATGGGCGTCTTGCCTAGGCGCTTCCTCCGTGGTGGTGGCGTCTCGCCTTGGCGCCCCACCGTCGCCGGAGGTTTTTTTTTTAAAAAAAAATTACAAAAATTTAAAAAATTACCTTCTGGCCGGCAAACCGCCTTCCGCCCACCGTCGGTGCCGCCACTTCCTTGCCGGGCCGCCTCGACATAGCTCTGGAAATAATTTAGAGAGAGAAAGTGGAAGTAGAGAGTAGAGAGAGAAATTGTGTTTTTTAGTTTGAGGGCAAAAGTGTCATTTCACTCTTATTTTGTGGGCTTTATGTAGGAATTTGCGGGCGATGTTTAACAGTTCACTACAGCAATTCCAATAGTTTGGAAAAACCATAGTCACATCTTGTTAATTAGTTGAGCTAATTAGCTTGGTACTCGATAAATATTAATTAGATAAAAATAATTATACAAAAAGCTAGAAATGTTGTGGCTTAGAAACATTTCTACTATTACATACATGATAAATTAAATTATCTACGATGAATTTAAATCATCACATTAAGAATTCGAGTTGTGGTGTAAAAAATTATTTTAGTTCATTAGCTAACTATTTCCCGTATTACAGCTAAATACATGTACTAGTATAAATTTATGCTATTTGTTGATTGAATTGTGTTTATTTGCAAGATATGCACTTTTTTCAACACTCAAATGAACCACATTTTATATATATGTATTAAATTCTTATTATTACTTTTTATTAAAGTCACGATTAATTACAATCTAACTTTTTATAGTATACTTTTTGGTCTTAAGAATGTGGTTCCAATTTACTGATAAAGGATTATATTGGAGATGATGGTCGAGTACAATACCCAGGATTTATAAGATCACCAAACACAAATGACATTCTATCAAACCTATAACCCCTATTTGTACTGAAATGAAGATTTTAAGATCGCCCTTAAATGAATAGCCGAACACTGACCAGCCGACTCACACGAATCTAAAACCTACAGACAAATTGATATCAGCAAATCAAAGAAATAAATTTCGTGATCATTTAACTTCAAAATAGCTTAAAAATACTACTTTTCAGTAACAAATAGAAGTGAAAATTCAAGTAAAAGCATTAAGAAAAGTCTTCTAATCCCTCATCATCCCTTAAAAAACCCATTCATAAAACTGGATTTTAAAGGAACCTCGTCACACACCCCTTCCCACCTATAAAAAAAAGTAGATAATAAGCACTCCTAATGAGAAATCAATATTACAATCTTCTAACCGGATGAAGAACAAAAACATCTGGTAGCTCCTCCCTGTAGAGCCCCCTCCTGCAAAGGTCTATGGGCTCAAAAAGAAACGTGAACCTGAACAAGAAGAAAAACTAGCCAACCCCTCGTAAAGAATTATCCTGAAGCAAACCCATTACATCAACTTAGGCAGAACCTGGAGCAGTTTCCGGCTTCTCAGTATCCATGGGCTCTGCATTTGGTGTCTCGTTGCTGTCATCAGCACCACCACCAGGATTGGCATCTCCACCTGGAGAGGGAGACTCACCACCTTGAGCCTGCTGAGGTTGTGGCTCAGGAGTAGCTGGCTTTGGAGGGGCTGGTTTGGGTTTCGTCATTATCGGTCTACATAGCCTGTTATTCACCAATGCATTGTTAATTAGGCACAAAGAAATAAAATTACAACACATCACATGCTTCATACGTAATTCTATGTATATCAGCTACAAAGCCTAAAACCAGAAATGTGTTTCCAAGTACACTAAATTGATAAAACCAAAATCATTTTAAATTTCCCAATAAGTACTAATAACTCCTCCATATTGTAAATTGTAACGCACAATTGCAACCACACAAAACTAACTGAGCACTACAAATAGATGCATGATGAAATCTTGGACAGAAAGATAAATATTAAACTCCTCTACAAGAAAGAACTCAAACAGAAATAACATGAAGCATTACCTGTCAAGCTCCTCGGTTTTCTTCAACACATCCGCTGACCTCAGAGCAGGAGTCGCATATTTAGGAAGCGCATCCTGTTGCTGCTGCTTCTCTCTGAGCCATGCTTCTGCTTCCACACAGGCATTTACGACCTAAAATCATTCCAAAAGGTCACAAAAACCGATTAAGTGTTTGAGGTAATATATGCGTGTCACAGTAGCAAAAGAAATCCACGTATACTACCTTCTGTTTATCCGCAAGATCAATGTGGTCGAATTTGGGATCATTTAACATTACAGCATCTCTATAACTATTGATACAATAGGCAAGCTGCTTGATAACATTTCCCCGCTCCATGTGATCCTTGTAACGTTCTTCAATCGGATCACCTTGCTGAAGTTTATAAACCACAAATGTCAGCAAAAAATTATTGACAAAAGTTCTTACCCCGAATACAAAAGGAAAAGACAATATTAGGAACTTCGATCACATAAATCCAGAAATCTTGCCTTTTTCAGCTCCTCAAGCTTGGCAACATAGACACTCTTGATTTCATCTTCACCATCCTCATACAACCAGTCTTCAACCTCTTGAAGTCTAGCAATGAACTCGTCTTTCTCGGAAGGAATGACAAACTCCTGGTATTTGTCATTAAGCTGGATGCAATAAAAGAAAACGAAAGATCAGGCACGACTATTATAGTTTGGGCATAAACGACGATCCACCAAGTTACACTGCGCCAAATACCTTGTTTCTCATGTCGTAGACATAGGCTTCAACAGCATTTTTCCGATCCTTTGTTTCCTCCATCACACGATCTTGCAAAGCTAATTCAAACTCCTTTTCAACTGCCTTTTGCAAATCAACTGGTGACAAACCACCATGAACCAGCTCAGTGACTGGTACATTTGTTTTCTTAACCTTCTTCTTTGTAGCATCAGCCTGTAAGAAAGACAACATAACATAAGAGCCACTAAAAACACAAATTCCAAAGTGCAACATCATGAAACTTAATAGGAGTTCAACTGCAATAGCTTTCCACGCAGAAACCAATAGCAAATCAACCATCTATCTATTCAAAGAGCCTTTAAAGTTCCCCAAATTTTATTATATAAATTGAGAAGCTTGACTCAGCGAAACAGAGCAAGGAAATTAACTAAATTGTAAAGCAAAGTTCATCACAGAAAAATTAAAATTTAAAAATAAAATAAAATAAAATAAAAGATAAAATCAGAAAAGGGTCAGCCTAACTGCATTTCAGTACTATAGAGACTCTGAAGGCAGAAGACCACACCCACCAAGGTGCCACGTTTTAGAAAGACAATTTCACAAAGCAAAATTATATTCATCACAAATCATGCAACCCAAAAGGTAACGTCAAAGTCGAGACATTCACTTCTCTAGCAATTGAATTATATTCACAAAGCAAAATCTAAAGTGACTTGTTAGGAAAAAGATTAATAGCTAACGCCTATAAGTCAATTTGCACTACAAGCCTGCGTAATACCTGGACCTTAACGTCAGAAGCAAGTGAAAGAGGTCACAAATACCTTGGCATCAGTGTCCATCTGCACTGGCTTATCATCAGCTTCAGACGTAGACTTCCCCCCTGATTCAGGGGTACCATTTTCTGCAGCTGTTGCCTCCGCAGCACCCTTGGCGTCTTGCATGTTTACATCAGCTTCACCAGCAGGAGTCTCATTTGCAGTATCATCAGTGTCCATTTTAGTAGTTTCCTTCACCACAGGAACCTCAACTTCTTCCTCTTCCAAGAGCTGAAATAACAAAGAAAATCCACAAGTCATGTAAACATGAAAGTAGATACAACTTACATCACCACATTCACCAGTAACCAAATTAGTAGTAGACTCACTGTTGCTGATTCAATAGCCACAATTCCATGAAGATTCAACCGCACTCTGACTTTAAGCTTTGCACGATCACCATTAGTTGATTGAATAGGGCCAATCTGTCCATTCCCCAGAAATATATAGAGGGACAAAAGCATAGTTAGAATAGCAGTAGAAGCATGATTGCCAACAAAAAATTGCATGTTGTAATAACATATGATAGATACGTAACAAAGTAGCCAAGAGTACTACTAACCGTGTATGAACTAATCTTTGCTGGAGCCTGCAACTCACTGACATCAGCATACTGCACATCAACAGCAAAAGTACCTGACCGGAGGATTGTTACAGCCTTCAAACAGGGTATAGTACTCCCTTTAGGAATTACTGTTATAGTTTGCTGCCCCTCTGCAGCCTCATTCTGACCATCAGCAGCAACCCCTTTCCACGACAATGAAATGGGAAATGGGAAACTTTCATTAACCTGCAGCAGGGGAAAAAAGTATAAGAAAAGGGAAATGATATGAAAATAATCCAGCAGCAAAATAACACTAAGCATTTAGGTTATCCCTAACTAACAAATGGTAGTTTAGGAGCGCCTTTTAAGCCACACATAATGATAATGTATACTCCGTACAGAAATTTACAAAGTATGGCAGAGTACAGATGACACTTAATGCACAGATGACAAACCAAAGGTCAGCTGCAACTTCATCACAACAATCTCATGAAAAGAGAAGTTTAAAATGGAACCCAAATGTAGCCACATCAGAAGCCAAACAATAAACACATTAGACCGCAAAAGAGTGTACAGTATAAGCAGCAGACCACCATATCCATTAAAAAAGACAAAGTGGAATGTAAATCACTCACCTGAAATTCTTTGACTTTGAATGTAGGGCTGAGAATTGCACACTGTAATGCACAGCCCTTTGCTACACACTCACTGGCATTCATTGTGCGGCGAGGATCCTTCCCAAAGAAGTCGGTCAAAATCTTCAAAACAGCAGGAATCCTAGAAGCTGAGCCTACCAACTCAACAGCATGAATTTGGTCAACTGTAAGACCTGCCTCTGCAAGAGCCTTTTCCAAAGGCTTCTTCACACGCTCCAAAATTGGTATGCAAATTTGCTCAAACTCCTCCCTCTTGATGAAGCCTCTCACATCCTTCTCCTCCATAAGGCACTCAATGTTCAATGGCGCCTCTGGATTAGCACTGAGAACCTTCTTCAACTTCTCACAGGCTGCTCTCAGCCTGAGGCAAGCTCTAGCGTTCTGATAAACGTCAATCTTATACTCTTCCTTGAACTTAGCAGCAAAATGCTGGAAAAGAGCATCATCAAAGTCACGCCCACCCAAAGACCGGTCGAACGAGTGAGCCAACACTTTGAGTTGGGCTTTCTTGAAAGCAGCAATGCATACTTGCAAACTTGAATGTCCAACATCCACAAATGCAACATTTATTGGGTCACTTTCAGGTAGATCTGTCTTGTAGATTCCATAAGCCAAAGCAGTAGCCGTCGTCTCATGAATCAATCGCAAAGGATGAAGTCCAGCAATGGTTGCTGCATCTATCACAGCTCTTCTCTGAAGATCAGTAAAGTAAGTCGGGATTCCAATGCAGCAATCAACAACTGCAGCATTCAAATTCTTTTCTGCTATGCCCTTCAAATTCGAAAACAGCATACCCAAAACCTGAGTCGGGGTGAATGTTTTGGTTTCTCCCAAGTACTTCACGTGGATCAAAGGATATCCATCAGGACCTTCAGTCACCATAAATGGCATTGATTTCAGATCCTTCTGGAGCTCAGGATCAGAAAATTGCCGACCTATTAATCTTTTTATCTGTGAGATAGTGGTTTTAGGGTTCATCATCGCTGATGCCGCTCCAGCTGTCCCAATAAACCGCTGCTTGTCACCAAAGCAAACAATTGCAGGGGTCTCTCGTTTAGATTCATCATTCAGCACGACGTCAATTCCTCTTTGCCTTGCGACAGCAACGACACAGCTCTCATTACCAAAATCAAACCCGACCACGCTCATCTTTATCACAATACGCGATCAACCTGATGAAAACAAGATGCATAGCAGCATAGGTAAAATACTTTGTCAAAATCGGGTCTTCCAATCCACTAATCCACACTTAAAACCATAAAATCGGGAAAAGCATGCAGAAACAAAATGCCGAAACACTAATTACGAGCAAATTATAAATATAAATTCTTAAACAAACTGCCAATAATTTTACTAGCCCAATCCTTTCCTATAGACAAATGCAGCAACAAACGCCACTCAAATGTTTCCATTTTCAACCTTTTCAATTCAAAAAATTCCAGGTAAATGAAACCATTTTCAATCCTTCACCAAGCATCAGATATTATAACCTATCACAATGTGTTCATCAAAAATTCATACAGATTCGTGATTGTGAGCTGAAACATCAATCTAATCAAATTCGAGCATAATCAATTACAAAATTATATCATAAATTGCCTCTACAAAAGCAACAAAAAATAACGACAGAAAATTATAAGTATAATTCACACCTAAAACAATCTCAAGCAACAAAAGCAAACAGATCTAAATTAACCAAAAACAATGAAGAACAAATCTAAATCTGAAGAACAATCGAAAAAAACTAGGGTTTGTAGATGAAACGAACCTCGAAGAAGAAGATCTAATGGCGCAAAGAAGATCGGACGGCTGAGAAGAGGAGAGAGAAACGACGTGAAGAAAGGGGGTTCTGGAAAATCCCCTAAATATGCACTTTGTTAGAGAGAGAAATGAGGTGGTGGTGTTGTAGGGCGGAAGAGAGAGAGAGAGTGGGGGAGATTTACAAGGGTTTTAAATATCGAACCAAATGAATGGTCAGGGGTTTATATGTAATTAACTACTTCGTGACGTCTCTAGAGAAAATGGTTTGTTCTAGAAACATCCTTTTGAATCTTAGGAGTACGATGCGCTTACCGTTTACTTCTGTTTTATTGGTGTTTAGGGCGTTAAGGGGGTGTGATTAAATTAAGCTCGAAATCGAGCGCGGTTAAAGTTTGCTTTGGGTAATAGGCTGATAGCTAATAGGGTTGTTTATTAAATAAATTAGGTTAGGTCTCATCTCATGTAATTTTCAATAACTATATTTTAATTTAATACTGTATTACATTTTTTGACTTTCATATTCATATCATTTGAATGTTGAAGAACAACAAAAATGACAAGAGAAAATCACACTAAGAATAAACGCCATGTGTCATTCCTGACAAGTATTATTGAAGTATCCATAGAATATTAATTTATATATGTAAAAGATTTTTTAAATAGATTTCTTTTCAAAATAAAATAAAAATTAAGAATACACATGAGATAACACGTGTTATTGCTGGTGTGTCTTTTAGTATGTAGTTATTATAGTTATTATTATTGAGCAGGAGTAGTATTTAGCCCGACTTTTTGATGTAATTTTTTTTATCAACAGGTTGTTCTCTTGTATGTTTAGATTTGTTTTGGATTGAGATATGGATTAAGAAGTAGTTGTACAGTATTGGCTGGGTTCATTTTATAACTATTTTCATTAAAAGGAATTGAGGATGATAAGTTAGTATTTCACATATATTATGAACAACCTAACTACCCTTTTCATTTTCAACCAAATCATTACCAGTTCTTATCATTAATAGTGCAATTAGATAATCATTTGAATCGAGGGGCGAAATGAGAGAAAAAGGAATTAGGGCAATGTAATAATCCTAATTCCACTATCCACACATGTGAACTGCCAAATTACTTTACTAATGATACAAATCAATGTATTACACTTTGACAATTGATTGTGAAATATAGGTTTAAATCATTAACTCAACAAATTGACCACTACTTTGATTTTGAAATTGACATCTAAATTAAGATTGGCAATTTATTAGAAAAACATTGTAAATTTCACAGTAGCATACCTTCATTTTCAAGAAACTAAACATAAAATTGGGGAAAATTGTATAAATTGCTGCAAAATTAAAAATCAAAATTCAACTCTAATGGTTTGTTTATACTTCACATACATCCAAAAAGAAAAAAAAAAGTAAGTTTCAGAATATTATTGTATTCAAAAACAAGGAAGAGACATTGAATAGGCGAGGAAGAAGAAAAGAGAAATATTAATAGAAAACAAAAGGCTATTGAGAAAAAAAATATCTAAAAAAAAAAAGCTAAATTTTTTATTGAAAAAATGAAATGCATACCAGGAATGTTGTGAAATAAAGATGAAGAAAACCATTATTATGATTGTTGGTAAAAAAAAAAAAAAAAACAAAGGTAACAGAAGATGAAAAAAATGAACAATAAAATGAAATGAAAGAAATAAAAGATAAAAATGAAAAGAAAAAAAAAACTAAAGAAACGCTTCACTAAATTCAAAAGGACCCACAAAAAAAAAAAAAAAAGGCCAAAAAAGGAAATGTGGCATGTTAATTTTCCTATTATTAAAGATAGTATATATGAGTCGAGTTTTGAACATGATTTGAAGATTGTGTCATCAATTGAAATTTTTTATATACACCCAGGTGTAGCACCTAGGTGTATATAAGGTGCAAGTTCCATATAAGAATACCTTTAGCTTTTTTTTTTTTTTTTGCTCATTTAAAATCTTAAAATCAGAACGCGCTGGCACACACACACACAAAAAAAAACAAAAAAAAAAAAACCCTTGGGGTGTATATAAAAAGTTTTGGTTGTCAATAAGGTTAAAAATGAATTAAGGTTCAATCGTTTATTTAAGTTTAAGAGAAGTTCTTCATTTTCATTATGCTTATAAGTTACTCACTTGATTATGTCCATTAACAAACTAAGTAGTAGTTCATTTTCATTTAAACAAAAAATCAACAACAAATTAGTTCATTTTGATGTTAATTGATCAATTTTTAAGACGAATATCAACAAGCTAGCTGGTTTGTAATTGTTTAATTGAACATTATTTTATCAAAGTGAATGATATTGAATGGCTTTAGGTCTTTACCAAATACTAGTACTCTGTAAAATGTTTTGCTTGAACCTTTTGACTTGCAATTGTGTATTTATTATAATGGTTTAAATTTACACTTTATTTTCATTTTCATCTAAAAGTCATAAGAGTAAAGTTTGTTTATAGAAATGGAAAAAAAGAAATCATTTATAAACTCTAATGGGAATGAACAAGTTCGTTGCTTTAAATTCTTGGTAATTACTATAACCAAATAAGCGAACTAATCGTTAACAAATTTTAAAAGTTTGTTTGTTAAATGAACGTTAAAACTTGGCTTGAAACTCGTTAGTTATACTTTTTCATTTATCAAACTTGCCCACAAAAAAATATATGACCCCTTTTATTTTCTAAATAGCTCTGGTGACCTAGTAGCTCAGACTCTCAGAGTAGCTTTATATATTTAGTCATCTTACTGCGGGTTTAAAGCCCTACCTTCTAAGGCATAAATATCATCTCCTCACCAAAGACACCAAAACTTCAAAACATGGTTGTTGAGCTTAATGCTCAATTTTTCAATTAATATATGGATAACTAAATTAAAGTTTATTAGTCAATATGTATAGCTCTTGTTATGTTCACTTTATCCAAATAAATTACTCTATAAAAATAATTTATATCATTAAAAATAATTTAAATTCTCTAAGTAAAATAAGTTCATTTTAGTAAAAATATTTTTTAATTAGTAAAAAACAATGATTTTAAAGAACAAATATAATTTCTCGAAAAAAATGTATAACAAGGAAAAATTCAAGCTACTTGAAAGAATACCTTGTGATTAAGTGTATTAATTATTGAATTGTACTGGTAATAAATATAGAAAAGTACAAATAAAAAATTAATAAACTAAATAACCTGTTTAGTAAATAATAAACAATACAAAAAACAATTTATATATTTGCGAGGAAGAGTAGTTATTTCAAAAGATATGGTTTTTTCTTCTCCTCATTCTAAGAGGGAGACTTTCTTATTTTACTATCGAGGGTCCAAATCTAATGGATTGATGTAGATTTGTTTTGTTTGATAAAAAATTACATATGAGATCGCAAAAGTTATTTAGGGCTCGTTTGGTAGAATGTAGAAATTGTAAATTCCTTGAAATTTAATTTTCCATGTAATTGGATATCCCATAAAATTTTAATTTGTGTTTGGTTACATATGGGAAGTGAAAATTCCCATGGAATTTTTCACTTACCTAGGTCTTCCCCCTAGGTCTCGGTAGGTAATTAAATTCATCCATTTTTGTAGGAAGTGGAAATTCTTAGGCATTTCTAAATCCCATGAATTTGTCTACCAAACACCACAAAAGTTATAATTTTTAGGAATTTTAATTTTCCATGAATTTTTTTTTTGTCAACCAAATGACACTTTTTATTTTTTTTTTATTTTTTTATATACAGTCACATGAATTAGGTAAAAAGTAATAACAGGTGTTAGATTGTCTTCCCAAAACAGTTGTATTTTCTAGCGATATAAGCGAAAGATGTTCTACCATGTAAGATCTATTCAAAGATTATAGTAATTTATGAATATATAAATAATCTTTATTTGATTCCGCATTTGTAAACAAAATTCAAATTTCTTTTGTAGATATCACATTACTTTTTATTATTTACTGTATTTGATTTTACTATTCAAACAAATAATATACTACCATTTTCTCTATCAACAATGTTATATTTTGACCTTTTGGGTAGTCTTTACACTACATATTATAATATGATATCCACTTACTATGGCTACTAGTCAATTCATGGGTAAACAAGTTATTTGTTTTAGATGGAAAAATACACAAGAAATTAAGACAATCTTCTTTGAAAACTTACTCCTAATTAATTTATCAAAACAATCAACATAAGAAAATTAACTACTCCGTATCTACGAATGGATCAATATTCAAATGAGCTTGCACAAAATGGCCAATGAAGCAACATAATTTGCATCTCGATTGCTTTCTTTGTAGATATGACAAGAGTCAACAGAAGATAAATCACGGAGAGTCTGTTCGAGTGTGGGTCTTGTAGGTAGGGTTTGCATATGAAAATATTACACCCACATCTATAAGTTGTAACCTATCCGATGCCACCTAAACTCATACCCCACTCGAACCATATAGGGTTTCGGAAAATACAAACTATTGCGTGCGGCAATTCACACCCAATATTTTGTGCCACGGGCCACGGCCTATTTTCCCTTCAAACACAACTACTACTGTAATAAGAAGCCCACCCATATCATTCATTTCAATTCTCAAAGAAAATTGGTATTTTAGGGCTCATAATTCACAGAACAACATCATTATGCTTGAATCAGCCAACCAAATTGAAGAAAATGATGCATTTTCCGATTGAATCGAAAACCCCTCAAAACGAAGATGACAATGACGAAGGTGAAGCGGTGCAGTGGAGTTTACTGCTGGTGATGCGTTGTGGACGGTGGTTGGTGATGCGGTGCCGATTTGCGGTTGCTGGGATCGGCGGTGGCGTGAGAAGATTGTTCGGTGGTGGGTTTTGTTGGGTTTGATGTTAAAGAGGACGATGTGTTCGATGGTGGAGTTGGTGGTGGTGGACATTGTGGAACGGGTCGTGAAGGTGGCGCGGAGATCAGAGGTGACGGTGGTGGTTGATGCTGTTATTTGGTGGTGTATTATTGCTGAGAAGGTGGTGCGGCCAGGGTTGAGGGTGAGTAGTGATCGTGGGTTGGTTTAGCAACAGGTTGCAGGGGAGTTAATGGGTGGAGTAAGAGAAGTGTGGCTGCTTGGGTTAGTGAGGTGGTAAGCAGGGGTCGAGGTGGCAGTGGAGTGTGGACTTGCAAACTACTTGGAGCGAC